TGCGCAAAAATCACCTGCTAAAAATAAATATGAAGTGCACGAAGGTCCATATCATTTAAAATTGAATTTTACCAGGATGAAAATCATATAAATTTGCCAACAAAATATAGTCTTAGGATAAATGAAAATAATTTGAATATCATGCACAGGGAAATGGAAATGTCGACTTATTTCTCACAGTGTGCGTCTTTCGCTCTTTCCTGCTTCACTAGTTCAGCGCTGTTCAAAACAAAGGGTATTACACTTCTATGTAAGAGGCAACGACGTGTAAATACTCTTTAGCTTAAGGTTTTACAAATTCTAAAAACTGTAAGTTGCTGGTAGATCACCGATGAGCCCCTCTTAAGATCAATCCACAATTATATTGCCTACGCCTTTTGAGGGCGTAGAAAATCTGAAAGATCAGTATCTCTTCATATAGGTGCATGTATTTGGCTACCAATGAGCTTTAAGCTGTTATTGGACTGTGAACCAAGATTGGCAATCATTATTTGTTAAATAATAATATAAATTATTTTATATATAGTATTCAAAAACTTATAATGATCTGTTCACATCAAATGCTTTAATCAAATATTGTTAGAAAATGTTGTAATATTTCTATCAAACATTTGTTGAATTTATTTGATTTATTCTGTCATACATATTAAGAATGAATTCGAAGAAAAACTTAGCACGTTATTATCAAACAAAAGTAAACGAATAAAAAGCAAATTTTGTGCTCTAGATTAGGGGTATTCGACCTTGCGTATTTCGTTTAATGCCCATTCCGAGAATAAATTACTTGCATACAATTTGCAACTTTATATCATATCTTAAAAATCGAAGCAAATTTAAAAGCTTAAGTTAGAGCATGACATAAATAGGTCTTATCTAGGCAACACCCCCAACCCCAACCCTCCCTCCACCTTTATTCTAAAGCCACTATCACCCAGTTTGCTCTCCATAAACATGACAAACTTGGCAACAAAATTGTCATACCCGCTGCGGCGGCGAGTGCATGCCGATAATACTTAAGATAAAGCCAATGAACGCTATCGCACGCACTCAGCTTTAACTGTCTGCAGACACAAGAGATGCATTGTTGTTGTTGTTGTTAATTGCTGTTAATGTACAATGGGTACATGGGGAGTAAATACATTGTACACATGCGAGTCGCTGCTGCTCTCGAGTACTTTATGAGACGACGACGAGACGGCAGCAGAATTGAAGTCAAAGCAAACCAGCCATAGAGCAACAGCTACGCTCTGACCTTACATTTACAGACACACGCACACAAAGAGAGAGAGAGAGAGAGAGAGAGAGGGGGGGGAGCACACACACGCCTGTACAAAGCACTGGCAACTAATAATCAAGAAGCAGTTAAATGTTAAACAAGTGGAAAAAAGAAGTAGGTCCACACTGAATGATGCTGCACATAAAGCTCAGCTGTGGTTGTCGCTCTCGCTCGCACACTCGAATTCAAATTCGCTTTTTGAGGTTAACATAGCAACAACAGCAACAAGCAACAACTTTAGACAAGCAATTTGCGCTGCAAATGTACAGCACAAAACAAAACTAAAGAAACCGAAAAGGCAAAGAATCAGCCTCAACCTCAAAAACAGCTGTTGACCGAGCTAAAAAAATATATATATAATGCGAACATATGTGCACATATGTATGTACATATATATATATATGTAAAAATCTACTTAATTTGAATGCTTTGCATTTGCAAATCTTTGGAAAACAACTAACCAAAGCTTTTTCACTTTGCATGATTGAAGCATTTTTTTGGCATGCAAATTGATGGTTCGAACTTGGATGGCTCTTGAACAATATATCCAATATCCTGATAGTTATCAGAACTGATGAATTAGCTAATTATTACAAGAGCCTTTCGGCTCATTTAGTTCATTTAAAGTATTATTATTATTATTTAAGTATTAAAAGCATTCGCAAAGCCTTTCGATTGCTCAGTTCAAGAACTTTTTTTTAAGTCCAGCTTAGATCATTTCAAATCCCGTTTTCTGCCTATTTTGGCAATACATTTTATATTTTCATGATATGCAAATGTTGAATATGTTTCCTTTTAAGCGGTTCGTTCAACTTTTGCAATTCGTCATTTGGTTCTGGTTTATAATTTAAATAAAGTTTTACTCTTATTCAAAAGTTCGCTTCCTGTTTTTCAACTTCCTTTTATTTTGCCTTTTATTTATTTCGAGCCTACAAAGTTGAAATTTCTATCAGATTTGCTTATATTTAATCATTTCGTTCGTTTCAAATTAATTTTATGAAATTATAATTAAATTATTTTTGTCAACCATTAACAAATGTTCATGTTCTTTATGACTTTTGAACTGGCTCCTTTTGAACAAAACCCAGTTTGACTAATCCGAAATCCAGTTCCAGCACAATTCATTTAAATGTTTTTCTGGTTATCTTAATACATTTTATGATTTAGCTGTATTTTATGATATGCTCATGCAAACATGTTTCGTTGAAATTTGGCAACACGTGATTTTTATTTTAGTTTTTAATTAAAGTTTCTTCTATTTCCTTGTCAGTTTGGGTTCTTTAACTTTTTTTCGAATTTTCCGAAAACCGTTTTCTCATCAATTACTTAAAATAAAGCATAAAATTAAAAATAAAATAAATAATTGATTTTTTTTCCTCATTTGAGTGCATATATAAATAAACATTATCAGACACTGGGGAACTTTTAAAATATTTGTATCTAAAACATTTCCTGTATTGTTTTATTTCTTGCCCATAACAAATCACTCGTTAAACCTTTAATATTTGCGATCTTATTAAAAGTACTTCATTTATTTTCTGCCTGACTCAACAGAGCTCATCAATAAAGCACAGATCTCACGTAGCGTACTTCACAAAATACGTATTGTTGTGACTTTAGCGCAAAGTGGCACTTGGACTTCGTGTGCGCATACATCATGCATACATACACTCTATGTACGTATGCATGTACGCATGTATACATGTATGCATGCATGTATGTATGTGTGCACATGTACTTACCACATAAGTATGATATTATGTGTTTTGGCTTTTATTTTTGGAATAAACATAAACAACCAACAAGAACAACAACAACAACAACAACAACAACAGCAACAACATTGCCAACGAACTAGAAAAAGTGTTCACAGAGCGAGAAAAACCAGTTCCATGTGCTAGAACATGTTGCACACATTGGCGTTCGAGATCGGAGCTGGTTGACTCAATATGGAGCAGCAGTTGCTTTGGGCTGCAATAACACCTTGCAAAATATATACATATATACATATGTATATTTAAAAGCACAAATTCAGCCCAGGCACGCGGCTATTTTGGGACACACACACACACGCGCGCGCACATCAATTAAATCGCTTCCTGACGCAGCATCAGCATCGTCAGCCCCATAAATGACACATTTTCGGAGCCAGAGTCGAGCCCAAGTCAGGAAGTCTAAAAATGAACAAAACCGGTGCGAGTCGAGCCTTTCTGTTGCTCTCTGCGACGGTGATTGAACGCTCTCAAGGATAACTGACAGCACATGCAGATGCGAAAGTACACCATGCATACATACACACACATATGTAGAGAATTAAAGCGAGATGGAGAGAGAGAGAGAGCGACAAAGAGAGAGGCGGGGTGGGGAGGCAGGCAATATCTTCCCCGTCGAGTTGACGCACTTGACAATGGCGGAAGCGTTTAACAAAACCGAACGCAACGTGATTTCAGCTGTTGAATTTTTGACTGTCATTAACATGTTAACACAAGCGGCCGAAAAGCACACAACGTGGCCCAAATACGAATCAAAAGTGATTTAACAAAAATTAATAATAAGCTATAGCTAAAAACAGAAGAAAAAAGTAGAATGATATTTTGTAGTCGTGTATCTGGTTTGGAGACACAAACTGATAGCGATAAGATAACGCTAACGAAAGCAGCGCAAGTGAATCAATGCAAAATGTAACGGAACACTATAAAAAAAAATACACACACTCACAAAAATAGTTTGTCGCATGAACGCAAACAACACATAGAAACAAACAAAACGAAAAATCCCTAAAATGTGCTTTACATTTCTTTGCAATTTATGACGTCATTAAATTACCTTTATTCGCGCTTTCTAACAGTGGCCTGTAGTGTGGCATTCTTATGTTAAATGACTGCAGCCAATGTAAAGAAGGCCTATAACATATAACAAAAGTTGTAGCCAGAACTTTAAATCTTATGCAATTTATTTACCATGAACGAAATAATTATATCAATTATATTTAAAGGTGTTTCAAGAATAAATGCACCATATTGAAAAAATTGAAAATCTTGATTAATGTTAATGTGCTAAATCATAACATAAGTCTAACATTAGTATCGAGTAAAAAGTTTGCAAAGATTTTCTTGTCAAAATTAGCAGAAATGCTTGTAATATTTTTATGTTTCAAGTGATATAACCAAAAAGGGTATTACAAATAAAAGTCATAAAACTACAGACAAACAAACACACACATTTGCACACACACACACACACACCTACACGTAGTTGCAGGGCAAATGAAGCCAAATGCAACAGCGCAATTTGCAGTGTTCCAATGTCAAGCCAAAGCAGTCAAAGCTTAAGAACTTTATTATGCAAAAAGCGTGCCACAGTCGCAGGGAGCTTGAAATGTACGCCCACAAACAAACAAACAAACACGCTATGTGTATATACACTCATGTGTGTGTGTGCGCGCACATTTGTATTTGTTATTGTTTTGGCGCTGTTGCCGAGCAAACCACTCTTTCTCTCTCTCTGCCTCTCGCTCAGCAGCTCGCGTATGTGTGTGTGTGTGGTGTGTTTGTGTGTAGAATTTTATTGATTAGTCACAAGGCTGGCAGCACTGCAGCAGCAGCAGCAGCAGCTGAGTTGTGCTGTGATTTTTACTTGCAAGTCGCAGTCGCAGTCGCAGGCAGCCGCCCACGCATCAGCAGCAGGGGCAGAATTAGCAATTGCAGAGCAGGTAGGTACTCACCTTCAATAGGGGCAGGTTATTATCGCGTGCAGCATTGAATACGATGAATTTGTCATCCATTTTAGAAATGTGTTTGCTGGGCGACGCACTTTTGCATAAATAACAACTTTCAAAACCTCACTCAAAATTTTGTGTTCCTTTTTAATTTATATGTTTAGCAAATCAGCCAAAAAATTATTTTATTTTTTAATAAATTTTCTGCCACTGCTTTCGTCGTTTTGGTTGCGAGATTGAGATTTTTCACTGCCTGCTGTGGATGTTGTTGTTATTGCTTATGTGAATTGCTAGTAATTTATTTTTATGTATGTATGTGTGTATGTATATTTTTCTCACACAAAGAACTTGCAACCGAAAATAAATATACAATTCTTTCAATAATTGCACAATTATCGTCAGTCTACGTTATTGTTGCGTTTTTATTGCTCTGCTTCCGTATTTTGTTGCATTTTTTTTTTTGCGCTCTCTTCTTCTGTGGCAGCGGCAGCGACGGCGACGGCGGCGGCGGCGGCAGCGGCCAAAAGCAGGAAGACAAATTTCTTTGTACTATTTCTCTTTTGTTGTGTCGCTTCTGTTGCGCGGCGCGTTGAATATCTGCTGCACTTAATTATATCGCGCCAATCTTCTGCCGTTACCACTCTGTGCCAGCTTGGTTTCTTGCGTTTTATGATTCTTAAATATGATTTAATTAAAACACACAATCGTCAGCGGCACAGTCGCGCGACGTCACGCACGAACAGGAAAAATATCACTGAAAAAAACGCTGTTAACTTTTTCTTATAAGAGTGATCGAATAACAGCATAGAGATGGGTACGTGAGCAAAATGACAACACATGTATGCTCACGAAATAAGCTGTTAAAGAACATAGCCGCTTTGACTTTTCTAGCATTGTTTAAATCAATTATTGTGCAGTATTTTTGGCATAGATATCATTATTTATGTATCTTATATAATAATTACCAGAACGACCATAATTACTTTAGTCTTTGAAAGAAATAATCGAAATCTTACGGAGCTCGTGATATCGATGCATATGTATACGAAATTAAACATTGCACACCTCTAGCACGTCTAGTACAGTCTGTTAAATAATTCGATATACTGTCAAGTTAACATTACCATGAACGAATAATTAAAATCATCGATTAGCGTGATATCGAATGGTGTCAGACCTTACACGGGGTATCGTTAAAGCCTAGCTGTCGAGAAATCGGCGCGCAGTTTGAATTTGCAACAATGGTATTTCTGCTCTTAACAATGCCGAACATTATAGAACACAATTTTGATATATTCGTTATACATTTTGTAGATTCGCATTCAATGAGAAATCTTATTAACATATTGATTTGATATAACGGACCAGGCACAAAGTAAAAAGCGATAACATTTATTGGATACATTCAGTCTAGACTGAAATAACAATGCAACACGCGATTTTACATTGTCAACCACAATTTCGTTAATTTTTTAATAAACTGAAGCTAACGCGTAAACACAAAGAACAAGTTCCAAAATCATTATATAAAAAGCGTTTTCTCTATTTTACAGCCAGTTTCTGCTCAATCCTAATTTCGACATTGTGCGCCTCGCCTGATGTTGTTGTTGCTTTTACACATGCAGTTTTAAACTAATTATTATCAAAATTGTTGCTGTTGCTGCTGCCGCCGCTGCCGAAATGTTGTTGTTGCTTGTCACTTGTATCCACAATCCAATTGGCAAATATGCGACGCCTAATAAATTGACAGCAATTTGTCAGTGTTTGAATGAAAAAGGGCTCAACGGATTTGTGGTTTCTTTACGTTTTTAGAGTGTTTATTAAAAAATTAATAATTTGTGGTTCATCGAGAAGCGCCCCAAATTACTGTGGCTTCCTACGGAACGAGCAGCCTGAAAATAAATTGAAACCAGATCGTTTGGTTGCGCCTAAAATTGTTGTAATAAAATATGCCTTACCTTCTGTCAGCTTGGCACGTCCGCCAGTTGGCTGGCACAGAATGGTGGCGCAGCCGGCGCAGACCACAACGCCCTGGGCGTGACTGAACACGGTTGTGATTCTGTAGCATCCCGGGCACTTGACATCCATGAAGTAGGAGTTGGGATGCTGCACCAAGCGCTTCAGCTTGTGCTTGCGTTTCTCCTCAGCGGGCAGAGGGTGCAGTAAATCTTTTGCTAGCTGTAACGGGAACCAAACAAAAATAATCACTATTGTGTATGCAATTCTTGGTTATGTGTCACAGTAACAGCCACAGTATTTGCAGAGATTCACAACAACACAACTTAATAACAGAATGCAATTGTATTTCACAATTGTCTGCAATCCCATTGGACATACAGGGGGATGCGCTCGTTTAGCATGCGTTGCCCACGAACGCACATATGGCTGGCTGTTGCGGGTTGCACTGTTTTAGTTGCTTAATGCGTGTATTATCACAGCAAATGCATATTTCGTATACACTGGATTGCCATGCGCATGCTATCACACAGTTTTTGCGTACGCATTTGCAATTTTTCTTTGTTTAAATGTGTATTTTTGTAAAATTTCGCACCCACCGGCATGTTTTTTCTTTCACAGCTAACACGGAAAAGGAAGTGGGCCAAATCGCAGCCAACTTAACTTGCAATAAACTACTAATAAATACCAAATTCGCTGTATTACTTTAATTTGGTATTTTCATTATTGCACAGAGTGGCAGCTCAGCCAACATTGTTTTGGCGCCTTTTTAGCACTGGCAGCATATCGACACTTTAGAGCACTTCCATCTGACACAAGATCCAAGCCGCAGGAAAATTAAAGCTAACAATGTCGACTCTGGAATTATGCGAAAAGTATTTTGAGACCCGTGATGTGTACAAGCTAATGGGCATTGCCAAGGACGCCAAAGAGAAGGAGATAAAAAAGGCATACCATAAGCTGTCGCTACTGGTGCATCCCGACCGAGTTCCCGACGCCCAAAAAGACGAATCCACGGAGAAGTTCAAAGTGCTCTCCAAAATTTACCAGGTGCTCACCGACACACAGAAGCGCGCGCTTTTCGACGAACAGGGCATCATAGATGACGACGACGAGGGCAAGCTGACCAATTGGCTGGACTTGTGGAGCAAAATATTTAAGCCGCTGTCCGAGGAAGATATTTGCAATTATGAAAAGGAATATGTTGGCTCCGAGATGGAGCGCACGGACATCAAGAAGGCCTATTTGGGCGGCAAAGGCTGCATGAACTACATCATGAACCATGTGCCGTTCATGAAAGTGGAGGACGAGCCGCGTTTCAAGGAAATCGTTGCCGCCATGATAGCCGCCGACGAGGTGCCCGAGTACAAGATCTTTACCGAGGAGCCGGCCGCCAAGCGCAATAAGCGCCACAAGAAATATGCCCGAGAATCGAAGGAGGCCACCATCATCAAGGAGCGCATCCAGCGTCGCCGCGAGAAGGACGCCGAAGCGGCACAAGAGTCGTCCGGCGGCAACCTGGAGCAGATGATATTGTCGCGAAAAAATCAACGCGAATCCAACTATAATTCGCTGATGGATCGTCTGCTGGTGAAGTACGGCGGCGAGGATGATTCTGATACAGTTGACTTCAGTGCCCTGGACAAGAAAAGGAAGCTAAAGAAGTCCAAGCAAGGCCAAAAGGCTGCAAAGATAAATGGCGTAAAGAACGGCCGGGTGGAGAAGCCGAAAGCCTAGACGCTCATATTTGTAGATTTAACATTGCTAAATTTGTGTAGTTTTAGTTCTAAATGTATTAATATGAAAAACTTAATCTCTAATATGATTATTGGGCGTCGTATTTGTTGAAAAAGAATATATATGCACATTTTTCAACATATATGCGACTTGATCATAACTAGCCCAATCAATGCCAGGGTTACATATACACTTTTTTTGTCGTAAGAAAGTCAATAACTTTGTAACACACTTAAATATATAATAATTAATAATAAATGTATAAGTATTATTTTGCTTGTTGTTTTGCTTGGCATTTTATCTTATCAGTTTTTGCGCTGCATACCAAGCGTCAGGGGCTGCCAATTCGATTGAATGCGAGTAGCGCCATTTTTGGCCACAGCAACTTATCGACCATCTATCGTGAACGGTAAACAAAAGAAAAATTGCTGAAATTCGAGTTAAAATTGGACCATAAAAGCATTAGACCTGCTGCGTAAAGAAATTCGATGGACGCAATAAAAAAGACGCCGGTCGTTGCAAGTCAATGTCGTGTTTGCCTAGGAGAATACGACGAGAGCACCATGCAAACACTTTCCACAGAGAATAACGATGCAGATAACGACAATACGGACGGCGAGGATGAAGGCATCCAAAGCGCAGCCTTTGATAAGCAGCATTTGAGCCGGAGTATTGAGTACTGTTGCGGCATTAGAGTAAACCCAGTCTGAATGAGCTCGACACATGTTCTAAAAAGCCTTATTTACAGATACGCCGTTCAATGCAGCTGCCGTCTCTTGTCTGCGAGCGCTGCTGCGATTTTGTGCGCATGTGGTTCAGCTTTCGGCAAATGTGCCTCAATACGCAAGTGTACTTGGAGAGCTTGTCCTTGCATGATGAGAAGCCAGACAACCAGATCACTAGCACAAGCGAGTACATGGAATATCTGTACGAGACGTTGCAGCTGCAAGCGCTTTATCGTGAGAAGCTAGAGTCCGTTGGCTCCCCGGAGATGGGCAGTGATTATGTGGTCGACTATGACGACGATAGCATTGTTGCGGACGCAACAATGCCGCCGGACGAGCTGGACGAGTGCCCCAAGCACTATTTGCCTGAAATAATCACCGAACTGGAGGCGTACGAGGCTGATGAGGGCGAGCCCATAGAAGTCGAGCCGGCTCTGATATATGCAGACGACAGCCAAACAGCGGAAGCTGATCTACCACTTAAGCTGGAGCATTGTGATGCCGATTACGATGATGATAACGATGGGTTCCTGTCGCCCACGCCATCGCCTGAGCCAAAGCCCACCACGACAGCTAAGCGCAAGCCGGGTCGCCCGCGCAAACCGGACAGCGAGCTGAAATCAAAGCGAAAGATCAAAGGCGAGCAGCTCGCCAAGAACGAGCAACAGACTGAGGACATGCCCACAAAATATATGTGCAATCTCTGCGGCAATGTCTATCCCAAGAAGGCCGCATTCACGGCTCACATGATGGCACACACCGACTACAAGCCGCACCAATGCGAGTAGGTTTCATTTACCTGTAAGGCCACAAAGATTCTCCAATTTACGTTTCATCTCTTTCACAGAATCTGTTGCAAGTCCTTTCGTCAAATGGGCGAACTGCGCGCACACATACGCCGACATACCGGAGAGCGTCCGTACAAGTGTCTGTACTGCGATCGTCATTTCTATGACCGCAGCGAGAAGGTTCGCCACGAGCGTGTGCACACCAACACAAGGCCATACGAGTGCAAGGAGTGTGGCAAGACGTTCACGCACACGGCCATCCTCAAGAACCACAGCTTGGTGCACTCCGGCGAAAAGAACTTCAAGTGAGCAAAGCCCAAGCACCTTACGCCTATGTCAATTTCTTAATATTCTTATTTGCAGCTGCAACATTTGCTCCAAGTCATTTACATTGCTGCACCAGTTGAAGGCACATCTGCAGACGCTGACGCACAGAAGCAAAGAGGAGCAGGCCTTCGCCAGCTCCAGCAGCTACATTCTGAGCCAGGAGAATCTGGAATAATTTAAGATATTCTAAATTTTAGTGGATTAAACAACATCGATGTATCAGTAATTCATAATTAAATTCGTATTGTCCCATTGAATGCAACAACCTCGACATTCTAGCGTATATAGTGCGCGCTATATATATATATATATACTTATATTTCTTGCTCAACCAAGCAAATATTTGGCTTACTTTACCCGATACGACTGTGATTATATTAATAGATGCTACAGCTACCATAGGAGCAATTTATTTAATAACTGAATTTAGAGTTAGTGTTTAATTCGAGCAGCACTTAGCTGCTGGAATAGTCGCCTTCGTCCTGGTTGTACAACATTATGCCCACCTCGTAGCGATGCACGTGGGTTCTTTCGTGAGCCTTCAGCTGATGCGGCAGACGAAAGCCCTTGTTGCAGGTCAGGCATTTGTGTGGCTTTTCTTTGGAGTGCGAAAGGGCGTGCGCTTTCAATGTCGTGGACAGCGAGAAGGTCTTGGCACAAATGTCGCACGCATATGGTCGTTCATTTGTGTGCATACTGTAAGTCACAAGGCGATAAAGGTTGGTAAGGTGCTTTAAATAATTATAAAACGTTAAATAACGAACCGTTCATGCTTTCGATGGGTGCTCCGGTCCGCAAAGCGGCGACCACAATGGGCGCATTCGTATGGCTTTTCGCCCGTGTGGGTGCGCATATGAGTTGTTAGATTGCAGGCGGCATTGAAGCGTTTGGAGCACAGCCTGTAGGTATGAATATATAAATAATTGCATTCGATAATGTCGCATGATTAACTTACTCGCATTCGTAGTTCTTTTCGTTGCGATGTGTGCGCAGATGCGACTTGAGCTGGGTTTGATTTGGAAATGAATTGCCGCACATGGAGCAGCTGTGCCTGGGAAAGCTTGATGGCTCACAGGCAGCGCCCAGGTCAACCGTAAGCGAAGCAACAGCCGAAGCTGGCTGCTCCATTGGCAAACGCTCCAATTTCAGCACAGATTTTCCCTCAGAATCGGACTGACTGTCCACGGCGAGACGCTTTACCGCTTGAGCTCCAGATTCTGGCTCAATAGCTTCAGCTTCAGCTGCATAACTTTCATGCTGTCTGTAATCGTGGTCATCATCTTCCTCTTCCTCGTTGTCCGCCACATCTGTTATGATGTACTCGTTGCCTTCGTTGTCGGTCGCCTCGCCCTCGGCCAGATTTAGCACGCATTTGCTGACGACAAGTAAATAATCCTCGTCGTTCTTTTCAGATGTATCTGCCAACTTTTCCAATACAGTTTGCTTCTCGGCAATGAGCTCAAGCATTTCATTTTTGTTATCTGCGCAGCTGCTTAAATCCTCGTCCGATAGCTGTTGTGCCTCAATAGTTTCCGGATCAGGCGTCTCTTGCTCGGCTAGTAAACTCTTCACGAGTTGCGTTTTGAATCTGTTTTTCTGCTGTTGAGAAATGCTTGGCTTGGGAGCACGTGCATCCTTGCCCACTTTCGATGGACTGCTGCTATCGGTGTCCTCGTCCAAGGAGATGCTCGGAAAGCATCTGCCCGAGGACATGGTGCGACGCACAACATTTCGGAGATGCGCATCGGCACGTCTGCAGCCTGTTAAAAATGTGTGCACCGATTGAAGATTTTGAATGCAGTCCGTGCATATTTGGTCGGGCAGGCCATCCTCTGGTCTCGCCTGTACATAATAATAATGAAAATAATATCTCGCAAGATTTCAAATTGCGTGAGTCTTACCACAATGCCAGCATATTCTTGCAATTGCTTCGCCAATCTGGCATCATCGAAGAGCGGCTGCAGCTGGGAACTTGTATCGGCTGTGCAGGTACGGCACAAGGTCCATTTTATGCAAATTTCCATTCTTAATACTCAATAATCACAATATAAATGCAATTAAAACACACCCGTTCATTTTGCGCCACAGCCGAGCTTCTAATTAGCACGTCAGTTTTGACCTGTTTCCACTGCAGCCGAAACGCGCGTTTTGTGCCTACTTGTTTTATAAAAGCATGTTTCTAGCTTAGGATTCATGCCTGGTAATTCAAGCAGATCGCCTTTCTCAACTTAAGAGCATAAGAAATGCTCAACTGAAGGCTGATTTTATGCATATATTGTGCAAAATGACTGATGGACCACATATTTGAGTTTTAGTGCATCATGAAATCGCATTCCCAAATGTGGGAATGGCAAAAAATTGCCATTCACCAACGCAGTCGCTTCTTCGAGCAGAATACCAAACAGAATAGTTGTTAGATAATGTGGTCACACTCGCATACTGTCAAAAATAAAAAATAAAAATCTAAGGACAAACTGCATATAAATTAAAGACGCCTTATTAACATATTTTATCTTGTTATTATTGTTAAGAGATTAGCAAAAACAAAATCAAAGCATGCCAGAGTATATGATATGCCGAATATGCTTAACAGAAGATATGAATGTTGACACCATGACACCACTCTACGACGAACAGGACGTCCAATGTCCCCTGGTTCGGAAAATAGAGGAAATCGGCAGCATTAAGGTACGCCCACAGACATATATGTACATACATACAGCCTGCAACCTGCACATTTTCACATGTCGATTTCATTCAACAAAAAGCTACCGCCACTGGAGGATATGCCTAGCCTGCTCTGTTGCAGTTGTGTCGGTAGCCTGACGAGCGCCTATAAATTTCGGGAATTGTGCCAGGAGAGCGAGCGAACCTTTGCCAGCAGCGTTGTGAAGGTACAAGCTCCAGTTCGCTTAAGTAAATGTAAATGGCTTAAATATAAAATTTGATTATTGAGTTTTTCAAGGCTGAACTAAAATTGGAGCCCACGGATGATCCTTCGCAAATTGAAAGTGATACGGTAGAGTACATTTATGAGGCTACCAACGAGTTTATCGATCCCGACGAGGATATTGAATTCGACGCCATGTTAGAAGAGCGCTTGGAGGAAACAATTGAGGAGGCGGAGACGGATGCGGCCTACGACGACTTCGAGGCGACTCGAGATCTGGATGACAAGAACATATTGCTTGGCAATGCCAGTGACAGTGACTACGATCCCAGTGAGCGTCTGCGAAAGCCAAAGGTGCGAAAATCGCGGCATGGCAAACGTGGTCGCGGACGGCCCCGGAATCCGACACATACAGTGCTGAAGCATGGCCAGGCAAAACCAGCTGCCACGGCCAGTAAATCAAATGAGGACACCTCCACGAACATCATGTGTGAAATATGCGGTAATATCTACTCGAAGCGGGCCGCCCTCAATATTCACATGCGTCGTCACATGTCCGAGAAGCCTTTCGAATGCGAGTATGTTTGTAGACTAGCTGCCACAGCACAAGCTAGCAATTGATTTGATACTTGAGTAACGATAATGAAACCAAGCTGAGGTGTCGAAGATTAAATACCCTTGCAGATGCAGGACTTGCAATACATTTTTACACCTAGCCTATTAACGATTTCAGTCCGATTGTTCTAGGATAATGCTGACAACATTTTCCTAATACGAGAACGGTTTTGGCCAGAGAATTTGACCAAAATTTCCCATGTCAGCTATAAAATAACGTGGTCCGCTTCGTCTGCTCTCTATATTATGACCTGTCTGTAAGAGATGGATCTATGCCAAGTTTCATCAATAGCTTATAGACAATGATAATACCTAATGCAAGAGTTTCAAGCGTAATTATCATTACTTAACTAAATTGCATTTGCTTGAGAATTTATTTCTTGCTTAAGTTCAATTTATCAATTTAAAATTCTTTTTCAGGATCTGCGCCAAGACGTTCGCCGGACCCTCAGAGCTAAATCGGCACATACGAGTGCATACAGGCGAGAAACCGTTTACGTGCAAATACTGTTCCCGCTCATTTGCTGATCGCAGCTCAAATATACGCCACGAAAGGTGCCGGCTAAGACAATAATTTATCTTTCCTTACTAATATGAATTTTTTTTATAGAACGCACACAAACGAGCGACCCTTTTCGTGTGGAACATGTGGCAAATCTTTCTCATATTCGAATGTCCTCAAGAATCACATGTTGACGCATACGGGCGAAAAGCCCTTCTTGTACGTTTGTCATTTTGCATATGTTCAAATCTAATGGCCAAGTCTCGTCACACGCTGGTTTATGATCCAACCTACTAAACGTGGCATTTGGTTGTTTTGCCAAATTGATTTGATTTGATTTGCCATTAAGATTTGCATGACAATTCAATCAAAGCCCATTTTAATTAAGCATATTTTCTTTTCAGATGTTTGCCGTGCAATAAGACATTCTCCCGCAAGCACCAGCTGGAGCAGCACATGGGAACTATGACCCATCAGCAAACTGTTAGAGCTCTGCAGACTACCGATGCGGTACGTCATTCTGAGATATATTAGTCATTCGTAACGGATTAAACAATTATTTAGTTTTTACATAAGTTAAAATAAAATCTTTACTGTAAATAAAAAGTACAAATTTAAGAAACATTTCAAACTCAAAATGAACCAAGTAAACTGGCCAGCTTTGTCGCCTGAGCCTTAAGTTTGTGTGGGCTTGCAGGTGCGCGGCTCTATGGAACCATGCAGATAGCTATTTTGGCATAAATATACAAAATTATAAGCAAAACATTTTCTGCGATTGTTGCCGTATTAGATGTCTGTTTTGTTGGGGTGTTAGGTGGATTTAGGAATTCAAGCAGATGCGACATATTTTCTACTGCATACTCGAAAGTTAATACTGAAACATGCAAGTGAGTATTTAGTTCACAATTAAAATACTTTGCTTCCTCTTCTTTGAAGTGCATTCACAGTGATTCTTAGTTTCCAAACAAACAGCTGTTTCCCTTTATAGAAAACAAAACTGTATTTTGAAGCGTTTGTTTGTTTACTAAAAAATGGAATTCTTATTATGTTAAGTTTAATTAAATAAAAAATGACGCTCAAATGCCGTACCTGCGCAACTGTAATTTACAACATAAACGCCAAGAATCTCTTTGAGCGTGAGAACTCGGACATCCTAATGAACATTGAAATGGTAGCCGGAACGGCGGTAAAAATTGTTGCTTCAATATAATGTGGAAACAATTGTAATATTTGCATTGCTTACAGCTGGTAAGCAGTCCCGAGCTGCCATCCCACATATGCGCTTGCTGTCTTCTTGACCTGAAACAAGCCGTATATCATATAAAAGTATTCCGTGAGCGCTGCATCAAGACTCAAGAGCAACTGTTGAGCACCCGCATCCGGGTCGAACCCTTTTCGGAAGGTGACTCGGAATTCGTTTATGAATTCAACAGCTATGATACTATTAAACTGGAAAATAATATTAATGTCGAGAAAGTATCAGTTAAAAGCAATAGATCAAAGGATGATTCCGAGGATGAGGAAGCAGAGTTAATGGAATTTCATGAAAATGAAGAGGACAGTTCAAATGAAATGGAAGCTAGCTTTGTTGAAGGCTTCACCGAAGATACCCACTCTTTGATTACAGGAGCATTTAGTAGCAATAGCCAAGGAACAAACGAAGAGTTTCGCGAAAGCGCAGACCAGGACTTAAATCAATATGTAAGCTACATCGACATAAGCACATCTCCCAGTTTCAGGAAAAGCAAAACTAGAAGTTTTGCCAATGTCCTCATTAAACATCCAGAAACCAGTGAAAGCGCAAATAAGGAAACCTGCAAAGAGAAGACGAATGGAAGCAGCTTAGAGACTAAAACACACAAAGTCAAAAAAACCTACCTCAGCTGGAAGAATCTGACGGAGGAGCAAATTATCGAACGCCGGAGGCAACAGCGGCGTCGGGACTGCATATGCGATCAGTGCGGCCGGCACTTCACGGACCAAAGCAACTTTAAATTGCACCTGTTGCGGCACACGGGTGTCAAGAACTTCAAGTGCAAGGAGTGCAGCAGACTCTTCTACACCGAACACCTGCTGCAGCTGCATGAGCGGACGGTGCATCGCGGCGAGCGGCCCTATGCCTGCAAGTACTGCGACAAGACTTTCAATAGCAGCACGACGCGTGTAATCCATGAACGGTGACTGCTCCTAATGTAAAAACTTTGTAGTTCATTTATTTAGCTAACAATTTCTATATTTTTTTTAGCTCCCATACAAATGTGCGTCCTTACTCGTGTGAATATTGCGATAAATCATTTATTTCTACGTCTGCTCTGAAGCGACATGATTTAACACACAATGGCGTGCGATCATTTTAGTAAGTAGTTTTATCTAAAACATGCTTTAATTTATGCTTGTAATTATTAATTATTTCCAAACTTTCCAGCTGTAAAATATGCGACAAAACATTTCAAAGAAATACTCATTTAAAGGCTCACTTACGTTCCAAACTGCATGCCTTAAGAGAAACGAATATTAGTTTATTGCGAGAGTTTGAATAAAAACAAATTAGCTCTTATTTATTTTATTTATGTTTAAAATGTAAATAGCTTATGATTTCCATTAAAGAAAACAATTTTTTACTTTCCGTTTATGTTTCAGAGATTGTCTAATAAAAATCTTGAACTATACATTAGGTGTATAAATTGAAATTTAAAATTGTTGTTAGCGTGTTTTAGACAAAAATTGTAACACATTTTCTTGGAAACGAATTTAAGATATGTTATTTTAATCAAAATTGAATAGCTGTTGAAAGAAATACAGTGTTTACATATTGATGTAATTGCAAAATCCCGAAATCAGTATTTTTATTACAAATTATTCGCATTTCTTGGTATATTTCTTTTTATCAAAGAGCGGTATTTTTTCAGATTCGAGATTCGGTCGCGTTGTCAGCTTCTCTTCTGTTCAGAAATCAAAAGATTATTTTAGATTTTATGAAAATGGAAGATTTTTGCCGAACCTGTGGCAAAACGGTGAACGCAGACAGTTGCATTAACATCTTTTCTCCCATGGGTCGTCGTCTTTTGCACTGCGTGCGCACCATAACAAACTGTTGGGTATGGAACAACGTATTCAAGCCAATCGAATGCTTATATCAATTTCTTCCAGTTGGAAAATGTGGCCGGGTTTCCGATCTATATGTGCGAGGACTGCCAAACGCTGGTAAAGAAGGTTAACTCCTTTCGCAAACGCTGCTCAAAAATTGAAGCCTTTCTCGTTAAACGTAAGGCCAAACTGAGCACAAACAATATTTCCCCCCCAACGTCCGACCAAGCCAAGATTTCTGACCCACTTCGTATTGAGGAACCAGTCGATATAAAGGTGGAGCCAACGCCCGTACAACAGCAGCAGATCGACAATGATGTTAATAATCAGCTGCAGGAAGACTTTGAAGAAACGAGCGAAAGTGATTATGGAGATCCGCCTGATTCTGATGGCTATGCGGATATATCTTTTGATGAGGATATTGAGGAGCCGCCCAGTGATTCATTTACTCATGCTGCTACCCAAGCCGAACCCGAATTACAACCAAAAAGTCCAGCGCACATTGATCCACATAGAAAACCTAAAATGGGCTCCCGCAAGTATACAATGCGTGTGGGAAAGAGAACCATGTACATTAAACTGACCAACGATAAACAACCGAAACGCATTGTGGATCGCGAGCGACAATGGGCATCGGCACGACCCTGCATCTGTGAGCACTGTGGTCGCCAATTCAAAGATGGCAGCAATCTCAATGTGCATCTGTTGCGGCACACCGGCACCAAGAACTACGAGTGTCCGGAATGCAACGAAAAGTGCTACACATTGCATCTGCTGCGGCGCCATCAGCTGAAACACACTGAAGGTCCCTACGAGTGCACCTTCTGCGGACTACAATACAGTACAAACAGCTCTCGAGTGCGCCACGAACGGTAAGTAAAATGTAACTAAGGGCCGCGCAGGTGTTTAATACCTTGTTTTACAGCGAGGCTTGCAAAAAAGGTCGAGCGCCGCAGTCAAAAACGGAGCTCATCAAACGAGGTGAACGCACATTTCAGTAAGTGTAATTAACTTAAAACCTATTAATGAGTTTAATTAATTAGTCCTATTTTTATTTAAAGCTGTGACGTCTGTGATCTATGGTTTCTGCGTGCCGGCAACCTAACCCAGCATATAAATTCATCAAATCATATTGCTAACGCGCGCATAAAAAACAAAAAGTTACAACTAAAACAAAAGAAATCGCTAAATATGAATCCTATATCTTGAAAAAAAAAAGAAAAAAATTAGTCAATTTGAGTATTTTTTTTTTTAAATAAAATTAATTAAAAGAATGCGCAGTGTACTTTACATAACTTAAAAGAATTGTTAGTCTAGATTCTTAGTTTAATTTGAATCATCGACGATTTCAATTTTTGTCAGCTTTTGCAGGTTTTCCTTATGCATTTTGCTAAACTGATGCGAATATAAATTGAATTTATATCGAAAGAAAGCGTTGCAGACGTCACACCTGAAAGCATAAGGAATATATATATGTTAAGGCTAAATTATATTTAGTTGCTAATCAATTGTCAAACCTATAGGGACGTTCCCCCGTGTGAATGCGTTCATGTTCCTTTAGCTTGCTGCGTACATAGAAGCCCTTCAGACAAATGTCGCACTCAAACGGACGTTTACTATCGTGCTTCATTTCGTGCTTCTTTTTCGATTGGGGATCTGCAAAGCTCATATCGCAAAATTTGCATTTGAAGGGCTTGGCCCCGATGTGCAGATTGTTATGCCAATTGAGTGCATATTTGGTCGCATAGCTTTTATCGCAATACGAACAAAAGTGCCGAACAATTTCCTTTTGGTCCTGCTCATTCGGCGTCTGCTTCTCCTGTTGCTCATCTGACAATTCAATTCTTTTGTTCAAGCGATTCACATTCCTGTGAATACGTGGAGATGCTCCATGAACCTTTCTGTAATGACGATTTGTATATTAATGATGCACAAGTTGTTGTGTCACAAGATTCACCTACTTTTCGTGCAGATATCGCGTGTTAGATGAACCAAATGCTTTTCGACAATAATTGCATTCAAATGGCAGCTCTCCTCTGTGCCTCACTCGTATGTGAATATTTCGCATATAGGCATCGTAAAATTTCTTAGGGCACTCGGAGCACGGATAGTTTTTCGTCCGCGTATGACGCAGCATGTGTATCGTTAGATTACATCTCACTCGAAAAGAGGCGCCGCACTGATCGCACACATGATTTAGTGGCATGGCTCTGATCTGTTCACGACGTATGCGATTTTTTTCCTCTTTTGTGCGTTTGGGACGCTTCGGTTTTGGTTCCCGAGGTTTTCGTTTCCGATTTCTTGCTGCGTTTGGCCTTTGGTTCGTTGCCTTTCTTTGTCGTGGACGGGGAAGTTTATCCTTGCCCCTATATTCATTCAGAAGATCCTCATAAATCTGTGCACCCAATGCAATGCTATTTGGATCTGCAGCCGATGGACGTATTGTCAGGTTCACTTGCTGTCCCGCTGCAAGGGACAAAGGCTCAATTACAGTCGTTTGACTATTTTGCTCTTCCGCCGGAAATACCGAAACAAAATCATCTTTTGCATCATTCTCACAAATCTGCACTAGCTCTGTATCTTGTGCATTCAATATTTCTCTGCCGTTTTCTTTAATGACAGCTGGAAACTCGTCCACGTCGCCCCCGGTAAGCTGCAGTTCTGCCCGGATACATGTTTCCCGAAAATCAATGGCTGTACGCAGATTATTGACGCATCCGGAGCACATGTACGGTGACATTCCCTCCTTGCATTGGACCTGCAATACAAATATTTGTATATGCAACTAGGTGCAATTACAAAAAGACGCTCTCACCCAAATGCCAGTTATAACTTCGATATGATATAACATGACGGCATTTTGTTCATCGCACAGATCCTTAGTATTTTCATCGACAACGAAGAGTCTACAGCAGGTGCGACATCTTATCTGATCAGTTAGTCTTTCATTATTGTCGCTACCTTTTGTGCACAAGTCAAACTCTGCCCTTTCCTCTGCCAAAGGATCGCTTTCACTGGGCGTCGGCGTAAATGGAATGAAGGCGTTGCCCGTAGCACTCACAAAGTCGGGCACAGAGACAATGCCAGTATTTCGAATGAAGTCTGGCGCTATGACAATTGCTCCGCTGGCCTCAGCTGCTTCTCGCGCAGCCGCTTCCTCCAACAGCTCGGCGACCAACTTCTTGTTCTTTCGCTTTTCGGATCGCTCTCGTTCAACTGCGCTTTCATCGTTTTTGTTGATGCAAGGCACGGCTCCTGGTCTCAGCGTTCTCTTTGAGCACAGGCCTGCAATTCGCAATTGTAGGTGATGGGCGAAGATTAAGTTAGCTATAGACAATAAGACAAACCCATTTGAAATTGTAATGCTCCTTGGATATCCTCCTCCTTGAAGTGCTCATTGCAAATGACACTCTTCAGCGGAGCCTTAAGTTTCTCTTTGTTGTATTTGCGACAAAACGAGACCCATTTTTTTAATATTTCCGGGTTTTTGGGGAAGCTAAAGAAACTCAATTGCTGGGAGTGTTTTTGTCTTGACTTGAACTTGTTGGCGCAGTTTTGCACCGCACACTTCATTTTACTATAATTTATTTTTATTTGTGACGTCGCATTGCAGACCTAGTGCCAGGGTTGGCAAACAACTACTAGCCCTGCAGTGTGTAATCGATATGCGATAGATTTTTTTAAATTACCGATAACCGATTAACTGGCGGGAAAATTAATTGAATAACAAACAGGCAATTGGTTAATAAAATTATCAATTTTTTTAATCCGATTCAACTCCAGTCTTGTCTAGTTTTAGCGTAGCATTTGTCTGATGAAACTTCGAGCGGTAATGAGCACGTAAGCTTGACTTCCGATTGAAATACACATTGCATATATCGCAGCTGTGGAGTTTAAATATGTTCAATAAGCATTACAAGAGAACTTCGTCGTATTTATATATACCAGAAAGGTTGTTCCCCCGTGTGCACGACAGCGTGAGTATCCAAGATGCTTTTCTTTCTAAACGACTTGTTACATAACTTACAGGTAAAGGCTGGCGCCTCTGCACTCGATTCCAAGTACTCCATGTGGCTTCTGCGAAAAATCGAAAGTTTTTTTTTTTTTTCAAAGTAAAAGTTAAATAAAGCATATTTGCTACCGTTGATGTCGTAAACGTGCCATGCTGTTCGCAAAACGTTCGCCACAATATTTACAGGCATACGGCTTTTCGCCCTGGTGCTGTATACGTTGGTGCAAATTGATTAAATGCTGCGTATAATCTTTGTGTCCGCATTCCGGGCATTCAAATTTTTTAACTCCCATGTGTCGCTGCAGATGTCGATTTAGGTTGGCCTTATCATTAAAATGCCTGCCGCACTGATCACAAAAATAATTTCCCAACCTTCGAATTCTTTTGTTGGGCGAACTCTCTTCTTGGCTGCCACTTGCTCCGCTCTTTTTCGCTTTCGATGGTTTAATTGTTTCATGCGTCTGGCTGGAGCTCTGCAATCCTCTGTAAGAGTTGTGGCTAGCAGGCACAATTGGCAAAGAAGACTGTTCATTATCAAAAACAGTCTCAGCCAAGTCGAAGGCGGTCTGAAACATATTTTCTTCGTATGTCGTCTCATTCAAGTGCCTTTGACGGTGTCGGCTCAAATTGGATTTATCATCAAAATACATGCCACATTGTCTACAAAAATATTTCCGGGCTGGAATATGAGATGTAATTTTACAATGAATATCTGGCACAGCTTTTGGGATCGAAGCGCGTGAAATTCTGGGAGGGATCTGTGGCGACCTTTGGGCATATGCAGAGCCTGTTGCATCACAATTCAGTTCTTCTCCAGCCTCGAGCTCAATAAGTCCACTTTTATCATTTGATAGCGGATCACTGTCATTGACAAATGGACAACTAGTTTTTTTGTCGATCTGCTTCCTTTCCAAATTTTGACGCATCAACATGGTGTTGGTTTTTATACAGCGCTCTCGGAATGCTATGGCATGCTCCAAGTCTAACAGGCAGTAAGCGCAAATCTTTCCTGGCATATCTAACTCATCTGTTAACTATAAGTTTATTCAAATCAATCAATTTTTGTGTGTGCTTAGAAACAATCATCCTTACCCAAATGCCAGTGAGCGCTTGTATTTTCTTTAGAATCTCATCGCCCTTATCTGCGAAAAGGTTTTTGGCATGGAGACGGTCAATCTGTTTGCCGCAAGTCCTGCATATAAATGCAACTGACATTATAAGATGTTATTGGTAATACTATTTTGGATTTGTTTATATGTCTTGGCACCTGTAAGCCATACAGACAGGGCTGTTACTCTGTTTATAAAATGCATCGTTTACTGTGAATAGCATATTAGACAAAGCGCGGTGAATGGCTGCTCAATTGAATAAGAAGCAGCATTTTGAAAATTGGAAAGCTGGAAAAATCGCCAACATTTGTATTCTACTTTTTGGTTTACCAACCGATCAACGTCAAACTTAATTTCAGAGATTTTTATTGAAATTCATTTGAGAGGGTGTCTCACACATTCTAGAAAATCCATCCTTCTTTGGTGGAAGCGGCCACATATTAAGGGTTTCCTTTAACAGTGTCTCTGAAGTTAGTTTCGGCTTAAGGTTATTTACAATAATAATTTCAATACTCATTATTTTGGAATCCGTATAATCATATTTTTGACGTATTCACAGCTGTAATTAATCAAAGCAGAAAAGGATATTGTGGCCTACTTATGATAATAAGAGCAGCAACTTTGAATAAGCTTAGTTTTTAATAAAAGGGTTAAAGTTTTATGTATAAAAAGTATATATTATATAAAAAGATATATTGTCAAATATTTTTCTTGGCTGTGCGTGTTTTTTTTTCAATTGTTTTCGACTGCGTCACATTTTGGCATTGAAACATTGTTAAACATCAAAATCTTCAATGATTGAATCAATGTCAGTTTCCACATCGGAGATTGCCTCTATAATGTTGAATTGTTTATCCAGTGCCTCGGCGGCTCTTTTTTGATGCTGCTTTGAACGATAGTGAATTTTCAAGTTCGTATTTCGGGGAAAACCCACATTGCATATTTCGCAACTGAAAGACAATATCAGCTTGTAAGCGATAGAGAAATTGAAAGCATAATTTAATAATACCGATATGGTCGTTCGCCTGTGTGTAGGAATTCGTGTTTATTTAGGCAGGATTTTGTCAGATACGTTTTTCCGCATAGCCGGCAGGCATATGTCAATTTCCTTGTATGCTTTACGCTACCAAAGAAAGATACTTAGAGTAATGCAATGCAAATAGAGTATGAGCCATACCGTTCATGCCGACAGCGGCTGGTGCTCGTGAAGAAGCGCTGATCACAGTATTTGCATGCGTATGGCATTTCGCCCTGATGCCGAACGCGTATGTGCAAATTGAGTAAATGCCGTGTAAAGTACTTTGTGTTACACTCCTCGCACTCAAAGTTCTTCACACCTGTATGCCGCAATATGTGCACTTTCAAATTGCTGGAATCCGTAAAGCATTTGCCACATTGATCGCACACGTAGGTCTTGCTAATGCCAGTTTGCCTCGCATTACACTTCACTTTGCTTCGGAATCCATCGGATGCGGCACTATCATAATCTTCTGACGCTGATTGCTGAGCTTCCACCATTGCAATACGATTGCTTTTATCAACTGAAGATGCTTTGGCATGACTTAAAATATTTTGAGTCTTATCGCGCTCTGCCGCTGGGTGTGTTTCGTGTGTTCGGCCCAATATGATAACACGTCTTCTGAGCTGACCTGATGAATCTCTCATTCTTGTGTTGAAGCTCAATTGTGGGTTTGGTGAGCGTGCGCGAACAATGTGATTTTGTGGAGAGGTATGGCATGGTTCCGTGAGAGCACGCACAACTTTTTGCTGTGATTGCTTTTTGCTTTTAGTCGGCGTAGGTGTGACGCTTCCTTGAGCGGTATTCAGTGGATCAGGTGCAGCTGCATTTGCTTCCACTCCACTTTGTAGAAGTTGTTGTATTTTAATACAACGCTCCCGGAATGCTATTGAATGATTCAAATCCAAATAGCAGCAGGCGCAAATATGTTTGGGCATATCCTCATCGTCATCTAACTGAAACAAAGCGTGAAACTCTTGCACACCCTTCTTCTTTTTTTATCGATGTCATACCCTGATTCCTGTCAATATTTCGATTTTGTCTAACATCTCATAACTTTCCCGATCGAAGAGGTTCTTGGCATTCAGATTGTAGATCTTTTCCCCGCATGTTCTGCACAAAACTAACGTTGACATTTTAACAGTTCAATTGCGCCCTGCCCAAGCGTGGCAGGCGTGTTTTTATTATTATCATACTACCGAAGACAAAACATGTGAATGGCAAAGGTACAGCTGTTGCATACGTTGCGTTGTGAATGGCAAACAGATGGTACTTTTCATAAAATGCCATTCTCTCATAACAATACACATTTATACATCAAGTTCGACTATTATTGAGTCTGGAAACACTATAGTTCCGTCAGGAACGGCTATATCTTTTATGCCATCGAGTTGACTGTTTAACGCTTCGCTAGCCCGCTTTTGATGCTGTTTTGTACGGCAATGAATCCTTAAGCCTGGCTTGCGCGGAAACGCCACATTGCACAATTCACAGCTGAAAAGTAGAATTTAGAATTGAATGTCTTATTTAATTAATTTATTTAAACATACCGATATGGTCGCAAGCCTGAGTGCAGGAATTCGTGTTTATTCAAACACGATTTCGTGTTGTATTTTTTGCCACAAATCTTGCACTCATACGACCAACTTCTTATGTGCCGTACTCTGTAAAAGAAAAGAAAACTCAGTTAAATTTATAAATTAGTGTATTTTAAATTCTCACTGTTCATGGCGTGTGCGTGTGCTGCCTGAATAGAATCGCTGGTCACAGAATCTGCATACAAATGGCATCTCGCCTTGGTGCTTCACTCGAATATGCAATTGCAGTAGGTATTTGGAGTAGTGCTTTGCGCCACATTCCTCGCATTCGAAATTCTTTTCTCCTTTATGACGCAGTATGTGTATATCCAAGTTTTTAGGACTTGTGGACTGATGACCGCAAAGGTCACAGATATAGACCTTGGGATCTCCAGGTGGCTTCAAAGCGGGTTTATCCTTCTTGGTCGCAATGCTATTATCTTGTGCCGGCAAGGACTCGGCAACAGAGGACACCTTGGCTGGACTGCCTTCGAGTCCTGCTTCGTGGAACTCTTCAGTTTGGTCAAAGGTGGCTTTCAATTCATTGGACTCTTCCTTTGCTCTACTCGGACTCTGTTCACAATTGCTAGGACTGCTGTGTGGTGAAGTCTTAAAGCTTTCAGCTTCTTGACAATGTTCAGCGTTTGAAACAGGCGACGTTTTGGCAAAATTGCGAACATAGGAATATTTTCTGCGCTCCTTAATACGCTTTTCTGTTCTAGTATTACAATTTGGCTTGCGAGCGCGCAAAATGCGATGTTGCGGAGGGTTTTGACTTAACGCTTCTGTATCTGCTGTATGCAATATTTGATTCTCTGAAGGACTTATTTTTATTGCAGCAAAAGGTTGACTTGGTGTTTCACTTGTTGAACCAACTTCTGTCTGTGCTGTATTTAGCGGGTCTGACTTCGTCGCCTTTTGATTTGCACTCTGCAAATAATGTTCGGTTTTGAGGCAGCGCTCTCGAAAAGCTATCGAATGGTACAGATCCAAATGACAACAGGTGCAAATGTGCTTGGGCATATGTTGGTCCTCGTTCAACTATAATCAGATATCAAACATACGTACATATATCTTATAACAAAGTTGAGGCAAATGTTTACCCGGATTCCAGTTAGTGTTTCAATATTGAGCAATATCTCATTGTCGTCTTGCTCGAAGAGATTTTTGGCATTAGGATTAAAGATCTTCGCTGCACAGGTTCTGCATTGAATCGACATTTTATCAAACTTAAGCTAACATCAAATGTTTTTCGGCCTTCTTGTTTAGTACATTTCTTAATAGAGCAGGGCTGTTATTCTATTTAAGTATTTTTTGTGCACGTGTGAATGGCTAAATGGAAATTTCGATAACAATAGTCGAGTGTGCAGCTCGACAAAATATTTGAACTTGTGATGTCGAATTTATATTGTAAATTTATTAAAATTATATAATTGTTATTATATATATATAAAAAAATTTTTTTTTTATTTTAGTAGCATGTTACCAATACATAATTGAATAAACATTGTTGCAAAAAACCAAATAAAAAATGTGCGGTTAATGGTTTATTCATCTATTTCTTCAATAATAGAATCGGGAAAATCAAAGTCTATTTCTTCATCGCTGACCGAAGTCATTTCCGTGTCATCAAAATCATCTTTTACCATCTGATTAACTCTTTTTAGATGGAACTTTGTAAGGTAATGATTTCTTAGATATTGTGCTCCCTTAAAGGACTTGTTGCATGTTTTGCAGCTAAAAAAAAATAATAATAATTATATATTAAAGACATTAAAGTGATGTTTAATAAGATATACCTATAAGTCTCTTCTCCAGTGATATGCACTAGTTTGTGCTTCTCCAGGCTTATTCTGCTTATAAACGTTCTGGTGCAAAGGTTGCACTCGAAAGGTAATTCGTTGGCATGATATTTTCTAAAAGTTTAATTCAAATACAAATTAGTCAAATGACAAAAGAGATACGTTGTGTTTTACTCACCGTTCATGCCGGCAGCGACTGGGACTGTTGCGGAAACCCATGCCGCAGTATTTACATACGAATGGCTTCTCGCCTTTGTGATGCACTCGTATATGAAGCAACAATAATGGCCGGGTGAAAAATTTACTGCCACAGTCCTGACATTCAAATTTTTTTACTCCCGAGTGTCGCAATGCATGATCCTTCAAGTTGCTCAAATCACGGAAGACCCATCCGCACTTGTCACATACATACTTCTTCTCTTCTGGCGGGAGCCTAATTCTATTTAGTTTGCTTACTTCATCATGGTGAGGAGCTGGTTGATATTTTTGTTGTACGCCTGGTTTAATTATTCTCTTCGACGGCCTTGGAGCTATAGATGCCGTTGGCCGAACTGTCATATACCTTGATCCTGACGCTGACTCCAACGGATGCATTCCATTCTTTGGCGGGTTTGTATGCACTGATTTTGCGGGGTGGTTTGCTGTTTGGCGTGGTGTACTTGGATCTCGACAACGCACCAGTCGTACTCGAGGCGATAGATGGCTTGAAGACGACGGTTTGTGTCGTCCTTCCATCTCTATTTTGTCTTCTTTTCGATTTGATATGGTACTATTTTCGGGGTTGTCAACTGTGTCGTTGAATTCATGTTTAAATTTAATTGCATCTTCACTAAGATCCTGGTCATCCAATGGATCAATCTGCCTGGAGTGTACTGGAAACGCTTTGGTTCTAGTGGCTCCTTCTTTCTTTACGGTCGCCAGTTGCTTTTCGGACTCTAAGCAGCGCTCTCGAAATGCCATTGAATGGTTTAAGTCCAAATAACAGCAGGAACATATATGGCTGGGCAAGCACGGGTCATAAAACAACTGAAACAAATTGTTTATTCAAAAACGCTTTGCGCAATAAAACGACGCCGATGCGGATTGAAGCGGTTTACCTTAATGCCAGTAATTGCGAGGATATTGTGACGAATGTCTTCATTTTCATGACTAAAAATGTTTCTGGGTTTCAGATTGAAAATCGGTTCCCTACAAGTTCTACAGTGAATTGACATTACGCTTTAATAATTCTTAAAATGTATTCCGTAAACAAAGTTAAAATTCTGGAAGTGTGCACACGCGAATGTCTCTAAAAATGCACTAAAAATGCCATTCACCCAAAAATGCTGGAATTTTAAAAATATGCAATTATTTTGATGCCGTAAATTAAAAATTAAAAACAATAAAAACTCATAATGTTAACAGCAAAATGTATGATTTTATTCTTGTAAGTTGTATTGGTAATTATATATAAGAGACAGAAGCATGGCAAATGCATGTCTTTGCTGGTATCTTGTTTCCTTTGCCCATTTAAATATCGTGAATGGCCAGTGTGCACATAAAAATTTTGGAAACAGCTGTAAAATACGACTGTCAGATTGTGCTCTACGTACGCATTTGTTATTTGCGCGGAAATTAAAAACAATCGTCTTTTAAAAAGTAGATATGCTTTTTGTTTTCAATTAAACACACGATGAATGACCTGCGCACACTTTGCCGTACATGTGGCACAACAATAAATAAGGAGCTCGATACGAGGCTTTTTGAGGAATTCAGCTACCATTTAGTAACTTTAATCGAAGACATAACCGACATGATGGTAAGTAATATTTCTTCTGTTTTTAGCTGTCCCTTATTTAAACATTTACAGATTGAAGATGATAACAGCCTGCCGGAATACATTTGCATTAGCTGTAAATCCATATTGGATCAAATTGTAAAGTTTCGTGCGAGCTGCCTTGATACTCATAGGAAACTATTGGCGGAGAAAATAAAGATCATAAATAGCACAGCAGATATGGAAACAGTGTTAGATCTCGACAAAATAAGTGTTATAGAAGATAGTTACAATAGCCATGATGAACTACAACAGGCAAAAATAAAAGAATCAGAGACTCCCATACAAAGCACGCCTCTCTTTGAGTGCAGGAAAATAAACAAAGCGCAAAAATCCAAAGACAGGCGCACAAAAACAAAAACATGGATTTGCGAACAGTGTGGCGGAGAATTTAGATGTTCCACATATTTAAAACTACATATGCTGCGTCACACAGGCACAAAGGAATTCGAATGTGACATTTGTAAGAGCAGGTATTATACCAAAAACGAGATGCAGCGCCATAAGATCTTGCACACGAACGCAAGACCATATTCGTGTCGTTTTTGTAATAAAACATTTCGGGGTACGAGCAGCAAAGCAGTTCATGAAAGGTTTGATTAAACATATTTCGAAATCTACAAGCTAATACATTTTCCATTGTTGCAGGACTCATACGAACGAAAGGCCATTTGCTTGCCAATATTGTGATAAAACCTTTACATCCACTTCGGTTCGAAAAATGCACGAGCGCGTGCATGTGAATCATCGAAACTATCAGTACGTACTAAATCATATTAAACAGGGTATATTAATAAATTTATTTGTTTTTCAGCTGTGAGCCGTGCGATCAATGGTTTTTACGACCTTCACATTTGTTATTACATCAACGCACCAAACTGCACAAGAGTAAAACTAATAGTGACTAGATGCCTTATATCTGTTGCCTATTTGAAGATTGATTTTTCATATTATAATTTGTTATTTAAAAATAATATATTAAAAAAAAAAAAATTCACAATGAACTGCATCACAACAATTGCTTTTGTGTGAATGCCACTGAACAGCTGTTATAGTTTTGTGTGAATGTTCTTTTATCCAGTTAATTTACACGCAAAGGAGCGTACGCTGTTCTTGCAGAGAAAATATAAAAAATTAATAAAAATGAATTAATTAGTTGAACCTCGATTGTAACCACATAAAATATTGCAATTTGATAGAAATAACAATTGTTTCAAATATTGACCGTCAAGCACGAGCATACCGCATTTACATGCTTGTCGGTTGTAAAGCGGGAATTTTTAATTTGCATATTTCTTTGCGTTAAAATTGTCGGCATGATCAGAAGCCGTGGTATTCATCGCAAGAAGTGCCTTCGCTTTAAAAATGAGGATAAGTTCCGGCTTATAGCCGCTGTGAGGGTCAGACGTCTGCTCTGGGATCTGAAAGACAGTGAACACAACGATCTTATAAGTATTAAGGCGGCTTGGCAGTCCGTGGGTGCCGAACTGCGCCGAGACCGTAAGTTTTCAATTTAAGCTAGTTGGATGGTATAAAATTGATTTAACTTCTTTATAAACAGCACAGGAATGTAAGGTCGCTTGGCGCTCGTTGCGCCAGAGCTACCGCTACCATTGCAAGACGGCATATACCCGCATTGGTGAGGACTATGAAGGCGAAACCGATCCGCTAGAAACCCCCCACATTCAATGGGAATTTGCCGATGATATGGCTTTCCTACAGGATTTGACAAGGAAGAGAAAGTATGTATTTGATTTACTGATTCCAACTGAATCCCATTTAACCTAAAACTCTTTAGCCCATCTTCGGACTCGGTTCTGTTGGACGATACTATTACGATGAACACTGAATTGGATGATTACACCGAGTATACTGATGCTGAATATTTGGATAGCGCTTATGAAATCCATAACAACGATGCAAATGACAACGATGCCGACATCGACGACAACAATGATGATGTTGAGGATGATGCAAACGTGGTTTCATTGACTAGGGCGTCGAAATTCGCATATGTATGTCACTTGGGTCTACTTTACTCGCAGATCTTAAGTTCGGTTCTTTACAGAAGATAAAACATCCAAAGAGTCAAAGGCAAGTTGTATGCAGAACATGCGCGCAAACAATAGACCCTCGCACCGCAGAGAATTTATTTAAACCGGAAAACTATCAGCTTCTGTGCCAAATCAAAGCGCTGACAGACCTAATTGTAAGTAACGCTGTAGGTTAAATGATAGGTTAAATTGTTGACTATTGCTTCCAGCTGAAACAAGATGAAGAATTTTCGGACCTTATTTGCGGCGACTGCCAACACAGTCTAGAGATTGCTTTTAAGTTTCGCAGAGTTTGCATTGAGTCACAGACACAAGCCCTAATCAAAGTACAAGTAAAGGACGAGGAGATCGAACAAGATACAATGTCATATTCAGAGTCCACTATGCCACACAGTCCCACCAATTCGGAATTACTCATAGAAGAAGAACGATTGGAAGAAATCGACAATTCAGATGATGAAAAATATTATGAAGCAGTAGACGTTCAACCCTTAGTATCAACACCATCGCCGCCATCCCCAACGTCGAAAAAGAAAATCAAAAGGGAGCCAAGAAACCACAAATACCAATGTCATCAGTGTGGATTGACATTTACTAGTCAGGATTTACTAAAGATGCATATGCATCAGTCTCATGACATGCAACTTCATACTAGGTTTGTTTATATATATTTTGTTTTTTGTATATGTATAAATTTGGTATATGATTTAAGATTTGTGTGCAAGCATTGCGGACACGATTTTAAGTACTCCGCCCCTCTGGTTGAACATCTAAAGAGCATAGGAGTTTATTTTGGATACAAGTGCGAAGAGTGTGGACAAAAGTTTCATAGTAGGCATTTCCTAAAGAAGCACAAGAGAAGAGTTCATGGGCAGGCTGATCAACATATTTGCCACATGTGTGGAAAAAATTTTACCACTGGATTTAATCTTCGAAACCATATTGTTCGTCACTCCGGAACCCGACCCCATAAGTGCAAGCTCTGCAGTGCAGCATTTTCAACGACAGCCGAACTGAACAATCACCAGCGCACACACGACAATGTTCGTCCATATCCATGTCGTTATGCATGCGGCAAATCATTTCGGCACTGCAGCAATCGTAGCACACACGAGAGGTGAGTAAAAAATATATTCTCGCGATATAGACTCTCATATATATTAGCAAATGTGTCCACAGAGTACATATGGCTGGCAGTTTGCGTCCTTTTCAATGCGACTATTGCGAAAAAACGTTTGTGACCAAAGGTGATTGCAGGTCCCATCAAATGGTGCATACTATGAGCCGCGATTTCAGGTAGTTTTAGCAAAATATTTTATAAATGTTTGATCATGTCAACATTTACTTATCAATCCATTTTGCAGCTGTGACATTTGCGAGCAGAGCTTCAAGCTACAGAAGCATTATTTGCAGCATTTGACGACCAAGTCTCATAAAAAGGTCGAGGAGCACATGAAAGCATTGAAGCAAACAGAATCGGTTGCATAAATTTAAACCTGTTTATAATTATTTACGACCTATTGGAAACTTATTAATTCTGAATTCCCAAAGCAAACAGAAGCTGTGGCGTTAATCTAGTTATGTATATAATTATCGAAGATCTATTGGAAACTTATTATTTTTTACTATCTATCAATTTTACCTTGGGACTGCAGGAACAATGCACCCTATTTCACATGAAGTCTTTGAATATTGTCTTAATTTCAAAACGAACTAATTAGCTAATCTTACTGAATGAATATTGAAAAGAAAGTATCTAGAAATATTTTGAGTATATGTAGAGCATGAAGAGAATCCTGAAAAAGTCGAATATAAGTTGTTATTTTGCTTGCGATTAGTCTTTATTATGGGTAAATATGGCTTGATAATATCGGTGCAATTAGTTATTCAGGTCACCCAACCCGTATTTAAAACACCCTAATATTATCAACGATCTTCTCGTTGTCATAAATTTCCTTGGCGTAGCACAGATTGGGATAGTCGAAGGCAGCGCCATAACGATTCTTGCAACCCGCGGTGGCCTTCTCTCCGGGTGTGTACACGGGCTGACCAATGATGTTTCTTGTGGCGAAATTACAGGTGAGCACAAAGTGATTGTAGTAATCGCGAGAAAAGCGAACGGCAGCGCAGCCCAAATGGGTGTTCTTCTCGGCCACGGCGATGGTGAACTTGGCCACATTCTTGTTGGGCAGCTCCTCGGGGAAACTGGCAAGAATATCGGGAGAGCCATTGTTGCGCTCATTGAACCAGTTCTCAATCTGCTCCTTGATAATTTCGCCATCGCTGTACTCAGACTCGGCGCCGCTGTAACTGAAAATGGCATTATTCTGGCCGGCGTAAGCGAAGCGTTCGGTGCTGCGGCATTTATCGGGAAGCGATTGGCAGGTCTTCACGTTCAGCAGCGCCAGGTGAGTGAGTTCCTCGCACCATGCCATCTTCGCCATGCGCGAAGCTTTGGGAAGGCCTTCAATTTTGCCGCCGGCGACAGTGTTGCGCAGCTCATTGAACAGGGTGAGGATCAACTTCTGATGGGGCTCAAGCTTCACTTCTCGGACATCCTTTGGGCACCCTTCACTAAAGTTCTGCAGCGGGATAAAATGTAATCGCTTACTTTGGATATCCTTAACCAACTTACTCCCTTGTTGTTGCAGGCAATGTGCTTGTCCAAGCACGTGGGCAGAGCACAGTAGTCCACTGCATTGGCAATTTTTGCCAGACCAACTAATAGAACCAATACTCCAATCATTGTAATGACTTCTCTAACAGTCGCTACGAACTGATGTCCAAGCCAACGTATGGCGTCTATTTATGGCGACAGAACATATTGTTGCCATTTCAGTTCCCAGCACCCAAACTCATTTTCTAAGACTTTTAATATTGTTACAATTGTTTTCTGTAGAATGTCTGTTTTGGTAAAGAGAAGCGTTATTATACCCTGAACTCATACAGAATGCTTAAAAAGGGTAAATCGACTTGTAAGTTTATGTAACAGGCAGAAAGTTAAACATATTCCTGGTCACCATCGATAGTCGTGTCGATCTAGCCATGTCCATCTCGATCTCTGAACCTAGAAAATTTGGAGCGTAGGTCCTCCTCGTGTCCGGGCAGTATATAGTATTATTATATAGTAGATCATACATATAAGTTATAGTAGATAGTAGAGTATTAAATCATATATAGTGAAATCATTTATTTTTGAGTATATATTCCTAGATTTTAAGATCTAAAGTCTGAAATTTTGTAGCTTCTCGTAAAAACAGTTCAAGGAGAAGAATGTCTAGGGTATTTTCTATTTGCATACTTAACGAGAGATATCTTACTTGTTTTATAGTGTGGAACTCTAAATACTCTTGCAGGCTTAAATCATGCGACCGAGAAAATATCGCTTTCGGTGAGTCTGCATTTATTCTCAATCTTAAAAGTTTTCATAAAAGAACTCAACTTGGGATAGTTACAAAAATGGAAGCTTCAAAAAAAAAGCTCATGGAAAGGTAAAATATCAATCTAAACTATATATTCAGGATGGGGTTAATCTCATGATCTAGAAATTGAATATTCATATTCATTTAGGCTAAAACTAACAAAATGTTGTTAGATAGAAAACACAAAGGCTTCGAGTAGACCTTATTTTTAATAGATAAAATATCAAATATTAAATGCACACAATTGTTGGGGTTTAAGTATATTAAGTTACATATTATTGCAAGCGAAAGAGGTTTCGATTTCTCCCGGGGGCACTAATGATCACCAATTCCGTTGCCATTTTGCTTGGCGTCATTGCCCGAGGCAATGAACGAGGTGACATCTAGCTTAGTGGCCAGTGCCAGGATCGTATCCTTCGCATCGGCGCCCTTTTTAATGATTAGAACACTGGGATCAACCTCTAGCACACGTGCTAGCTTGCCAAGTATTTCAGTCTCAGGCAGACGAATGATTCGCTTGTTAAGCGCCTTAATTACCGGCTCATTTAACTGGCGATTCATGCTGACAATCTGATTCATGAGTGTCTCCTGAGTCACAGCACCCAACACGCTGCTGCAAAGAGATCATGCGAGATTAGGACGATAAGAAGTAAATTTTTCGTAATGTAACATACCCATCCTTCTGGTCGATCATGGCTAGCTGATCCACACGGTGCTTCTTCATAAGCGCAATGGCATCACCAAAACTGGTGTCCGACTTCAGCAGAGCGATTGGCTTAGGCAGCTGTAGCTGCGATATGGGCACATTCCACCACCAGTGTCCATGCTCATTGACCGGCTGCTTGAAGCCACGGGCCTCCATCCAATTGTCGGATACAAACTTGGTCATATAGTTGCGAATTCCGTCGGGCAGGATAACCACACAACGCTGGCCGGGCTTAAGGGTGCGTGCATGCTCCAGAGCTGCATGCATGGCGGCACCGCTGGAGCCGCCGCAGAGCAGACCCTCCTCGGCATTGAGGCGACGACTCATGGGGAAGCAGTCGGCATCGTAGACCTTCGTCCATACATCGACTACCTTGTCGTCAAAGACAGTGGGTGGAAAGTCATAGCCAATGCCCTCCACCTCATAGAACTGTACATCAGTCTTGTTTATCTCTGGTGGACTCGCCAGCACCGAACCAAACGGATCGACGCCCACAACGCGACAATTGGGAGCTTGCTCCTTGATTTTGCGTCCAATACCGCTGATGGTGCCCGCAGTTCCAGCTGCGCAAATAATCATATCCACTTTATTATCCATCTGCCAGAGTATTTCCGCGGCCGTGCCATCATAGTGGGCCAGCGGATTGCCGGGATTGCGATACTGATCCAGCACAATAGAGTTGGGCGTCTGGCGCTGCAGCTGCTGTGCCACATAGATGAGTCCCTCCGGCGAATCGTAGGCCGCCTCAGTGGGCGTGCGGATTATGGTGGCGCCCAGTGTACGCAGTGCAGATACCTTCTCGTTGGACATCTTCTCGGGCATGACAATGATGCACTTGTAGCCCTTTACGGCACTTGCCATGGCCAGACCAATGCCAGTGTTGCCGGATGTCGGCTCAATGATGGTGTAACCCGGTTTCAGAAGTCCTTTTTCCTCTGCATCCTGTACCATGCGATAGCCAATACGATCCTTGACCGAACCACCCGGATTCAAGAACTCGCATTTGGCATCTAATTGAACAAAACAAAAATGAGTATACTTTGGTAAATGACTGTTACATTTTTTGAACAAAAACAAGGGGTATTCTGAGATTAACGAAATATAATTAGAGGAAACATTCAATTTATAAACATGAGATAGTGAAAGTTAATCAGTTGCAATTATGAAACATGTGCTCGTGCAAAAAAAAAAAAAAAAAATGATTAACTCAATTGGAAAACGTATACATATATATAAAGTATATATATACTTGAGGCATACTCACACATCTCACACTGGATGCCCTCCTTGGCGGGTATGCTATTGAGCCTGACCATGGGGGTGCTGCCGATCACTGTTAAGATATCCGGTGAGATCTTCTCGTGGCGCGGCATGGCACGCTGCGTATGGGGCGTCTGCTCCTTGGTGCCCAGATGCCAGGTGCATTTCGAGGGTTGGCCAGGATCAATGAAATCGGCCGGACGCTCGTAAGTCTTGTTCGCTGACATTGCTGTGGATTAGTTAGAATCGAATGAGTGTCAATGTGCCGTTGCGTATTCCGTGCTGTTCCGCTGCCTGCTCGCAATTAAATAATTCGTTCAATGAGTTGTTTGTTTAGCTCACACCATCTGGCAGAATGACCGGGGTCAGGCAGTCGCTGAACTCATCTCGTCTTATCAGCCCTTTTTTTCTGCCGTCTCATTGTAGTTTATTATGAAATTGAATTTGGGCTTTGATATGTGCATATAGAAGACCACGTTGTGCCTGGCAGGCATTGTTACCAAGTCATCTTCGCAAGACTCGCATCTTTTCCTGTTAAAGTTAACACTAAATTTTCATTGGACATAATTGGTGTAGAAAGGTTGTTCGGCTAGTTTTTCCTTGCAACAGGTTTTTCTCTACACCAAATTAACCGGCAATGGAATGTAGGTACATGCACACCGTTGCATTGCGAGTGCATTCAACTCGGGAAGCCGGAAAATTTCTCTTATCAATAGTTACACACACACACACACACACACACAAGCCAACTTTTGCACATTTGTGTTTGTTATACACTTAACACTTTTATCATATATCTATATTTGTATATACTTAATGCTCTATTTTAGAATGTTTATATACGGTATTTATCATTTCGGGCTTTTGTTCTCAACCGTTTACTTACCGTATCTATGAATTGTAATTGCTCAAAAAACTGAAATATGCAGCTACCAAATCACAGTCAATTATTTGGTAAAAATACACGTGAAAGATAGCGCTGCGTTGTTGTTGCTTCAGGTAGATCCGTGTCTACTCTGGCGAACATATGTATAAATACGCATTTATATATGTAGCCCCGCTAAAGAAGTAGTGCTGCAAAATGTGAGCGGAGTGTTGGTAAATGTTAAACGCCGCTAAAAGGAGTTGCTTGAGCATTTAGTGTATTTGATATATATTTTATTTATTTATATATATATTTTTATATTGCAATCAATTTTATACTTTTTTTTGGTATGTTTTCATTCGGTGTTAATACACGTCATGCTTTCAAAATAAATAATTTAATATTTAACGGCCGTTTTCTTACAGTAAAAGCTTTCGAGTTGTTGTGGTTTGTGTCTTGGCTAAAGTAGCTAAAAGATGTGCAGTTGATCCTTTGGAATATCTAACAGTCTGGTATATTCAATGAATCTGGATAAATCTTTTAATGTTGATTTACGTAAGGCTTAACAATCAACAAAAAATGTATTTTATGGATAAGAATAGGGTATATTTATTTTATAATTATTTTATTTTTTCTTAAAAGTTAGTATTAGAATACTAACATACGGTTTATATGTTTTTTATTTTTATATATATATTTTATTATTTTGAAGGTACATCAACTAGACTAGACTCAGTTTTAATGTGCGAATTTAATATTGTCTTAGTCGAAATTAGTTGTGAATAAATTTTACCATAATCCTATTTTTCATAATCTTTTAATTCGAGTCTTTAAAATCTTAACCCAATATCTTTATTAATATGCGCTGACTATGAAATTGAATGATTGAATTGATTTCTTCGCCAAGCTTAGGATGCACTCAACCCCCTCTCCTTCAATAAATATACCAGGTATGAGGTTTTCTTTATCACTTTCAGCTCACACAGAAAACGGAAAGTGATAAGAGCTACTTCAGATTCGTCTTTGCCGGTAAATAAAAATAATTAGGAGAGCCGTGTTGTTCTTATTGCATATTATTCCCAGCAAGTTTATTATATGCTCAAAAAATGATGTACGTCACGCGAGCTTATCAGATTTAAAATTGTTTATGCTTATCACTAAGCGCGCTTTCAGTCCTCAATGAATTGTTTGTACATAAATAAATTTTTATAGACCCACGAATAGTCTATAAAATAATAAAAATATTTATAATGGCACAGCCCCCTTGATATTTGCTTTTGAAAAACATGCACTTGATTCTATTACTTAAAAGGCAATTATAAAGTATCCAGCAGTATGTGCTTTAGTTATATCAGTAAATGTTGACATAGCAATAAAAATTAAAAGAGCCCTTCGAATTGGTTCATGATTTTAATAATTGGCTCATTAATATATTTGCGCACCTCCCAGTTAGTTGCAAAATCGCCGTGATTCCACATGGGATCCTCCATATGATGCATTTCCTTATTGGGCAATGTTTCAGCCAAACGCAAGACATCCTCAACATGGGCCATTTCATCATTATCCGAATACCACAAATGTGTGCTACACGTTATAAGATTGGTCGGGTAGTCCGGCGGCACCTCCGCATTGTATTCTATCCAATTCCTCTTTGCACCAAAGTCATAGCGCCTAAAGTGTCCGGACTGTTGCTCCTGTAGGTAGTGCAAGAACTGATCGGTGGACACTCCGGCGGGCGTTGTTAACGCATTTATCGCAACCGCACTCTACGGAGAAAATATATTAAATATTGAATACCAATTGGTCTTCGTATTGGGGCCAACCGAATTGGAGCGTCCGTCGGTGCTGCTGTTATGGAAGACGCTGCAGAAGTCTCGAAACCTTGAGTCCGGCCTGCAAGTGTTATAGATAAAAGCCAGTATGAAATCATTGTAGGGTAAGAACTCCTGCGACTCAAACAGCAGGGCGTAAGTATTGTGATGCCCCAGATAGGGTCCAACTGCTCGGGCCATCAGGCTGTCCATGTTGTTCATAAAGGCAACCGGAGCCAGCAGATGGGCTGTCTTGATTTTCTCATTGTACTCGGGACGTGTGGACATAAGTGCTAGGAAAACGGTTGTTCCTTGGGAGTGGCCCACATAGTGAATGGATTGTTGATCCTGTCCGTTTGTTTTCAGGGCATAGTCGATCATAGCCGCAATATCAAAGTAGCCAATTTCATGCCAGCTGAAGCGCCAGAAATATGGATGCTGCGTGGATATCGACGAGTGGTTTCTTGAGTACGTATTGCCGCGTGCATTGCCCAGCCAGACATCGTAGCCCGCATCGGCCAGCTGAAAGGGCAGAGCATTATCAGGACCCATGGCGATCCAATTGTCCGAGCAACCCGATATGCCATGCTGCATCAGCACAATGGGACGATACTTAGCCTGATTCTGCAGCTTGTGCGAATAGGGAATGCGAAATAATCCAATTATGTAGCCGTCTTCGGTGGGCACATAGTGCAGCTCGGCCGGATATCCGTGCGCTGTAATGCGATCATCCTAAAAAGCTTTGTTAGCCTCAAATATGGCGTTTGGCTTCTCCACTTTAAAGCTTACCGTTTTCAGCCTTGGATTTAATTTTAAATGCCCTTCCGGATCGTTAAAGAGTTGGTAGAAATCGGCGCCCTCAAAGACACTTGAGTCTAGCCCAGCTGGAGCACATCGAGCACCTGTCCAAATGCATAGAGATGACAAAATAACGATGAGGTTCCTAGCCATGTTGCGGTTGGACTGTGTTCTATAAATATATAGAACACGCCTTTTAAATACCTTTGCTGTACACTTAAGCCTAATCTGCCGATAAGCGATTACCCCTGGACCCTCTCCCGATCCAATGGCATTTGCTATAATTTACAAACACATTCATATTACGGTATAATTATATTCCTATTTATACCCTGAACCCATTGAAAATGGGTAAACAATTTGGCTAAATAATAAGAGCTAGAACCACAATTTAAATTCAATTGGCCTTTTGAGAATACACAAATATTGTATATCACAGTACGATGTGATGAAGTAACTTTAATTAAGATCGGTTAAGAAACACAAATGTTACTGGAGAAAATGTGTTTTGGCTGCCCGCGTGTTAACAGCAGCAAGCGTAAATTGCAATAATTTTTTGTATACATGTCCCCACACACACATTCATTATGTCTTTGAATTATATCAATAGCATTGCAATTGCGATTGAATTGTGTTCTGTGCTGGTATTTTAATCCGTTTTTTTCTCAATAGGGCTCAATGTAATGCGGTCACTTACGAGTTCAAGCCCTACGGAGAAAACTTTTTTATTAAATTATTTTAATTGCTAAAGCAAACGAGCACGTAGCGCGCGTTGCATTTGATGTTGGATTAAGAGAGTTCAGGGTATTCCCTAGTCGGGTGCTCCTGACTAGAACCTCTTGTTTTACTTAGATCTATGTATGTGATTCAACAGCGCACTCGAGCCGGAATGCTTTTTATTTGATAGTTCTCGCCGATCTTGAGCACGGCCGCCATGCCCTGTACTGCATGTGATTCGATGTGACAGTGATAGCTCCAGAAACCCGGATTGTCCGAGATGAAGCGTAAAATGACGTAACCCAGTCCTGGAACCTGTACGGTGTCCTTAGCCACGGCTGCATTGTCATCGGACAGACGAGCCAGACGTCCACGGCGATCCAGCTCGCGTATCTGTGGAGCAGAAAGCAATATTAGAGCTAAGTATTCTAAAGGTAGATCTGGTTGACTTACATTTCTCAGGTCGCTTAAGCTGCCCAGGACGCCCTGACCGACCAGGCGGAAGGTGAAGCCATGCAGATGTATGGGATGCGTGGCATCCATGTGGTTGGCCACAACCATTTCAATGGGACGATAAGCGGGCAGCCGTATGACATGCACACATTCGCATACTTCACGTGCACAATTGCGTCCCTGTGCGGCCAGCGAGCTGCGATTGCAAAAGTAGCTATCGTCCTGGTACAGATGTCGACCCTGCAGCATTGAGATGCCCGGCAAAATGTAGCTAATCTCATCGATCTGGAAGAGCTGTTCACCATTCTGTGCCTGACGCATGCTCAAACTGGAATAATGTGTGAGAAACTTGGTATAACTTGGCCAAGGAACCGGCTCTACGGAGCGCAGGGACACAGTGCCCACATCCTTGTCCTTATTCGACTTGCGCAGCGCTGATATCGATGCATTCAAGGGCTTGAAACGAAAATCATTGACAAACGTGGTAGGTTCGTCCAGCTCTCTGCCACGTTGATCTTCCATTATGTCACCCAGGGGCAATTCGCTGCGAGCCGCTCCGCGATAGCTGAGCACCGCGCCCTGATAAAGTTTACGCTCCTCGCACTGCTCGTAGCCCCGGACGCGTATCCAATAGTTTTTGGCAAGCTGATTTGCCTCCAGCACAAAATCAAAGCGCTCTGCTGAGGTCAGAAAGAAGCCATCGGCCAGCACGGGAACAATGTCGTTGCCATCGGTGCTGATGATCAGCAGCTTGTGCTGCTCGATGGAGAACTCTACGGGACAGTTAAATATACCATTGAGCACAATGCGCATGCGATAGCGATAGCCGGGCGTGACACGCAGCCGTTCGTAGCGATGCCTGGCATCCTGATCCGGCAGCTGGCTGAGATGATTGCGTCCCTTGCCATTGATAAGAATATTGCGAGCCTGCTGGAGGTTGTAGTCGTAGAATATGTCCTGCACCATGATGGCGTGCTCCACCAGGTCATAGTCGTAGAGACGCGCATGCGGATTCGCCTGATGTGGCTGCCGCACGATAAGATTGCCAGCCACACCGAAGCCACGCTGCCAGCCCACGTGGCTGTGGTACCAGAGGGTACCGCTGCGATCCGCCTGAAACTCATAGCGATACACCTCGCCCGGCTCCACCGGATACTGGGTGGCATGCGCAACGCCATCCATTTCTGGTGAGCGCGACATGTGTATGCCGTGCCAGTGCATCGTGCTGGGCTCATTCAGGTAGTTCAGCACGTCCACGACCACGGTATCGTTCTCGCACAGCTCTATAGCCGGGCCGGGCACCATGCGGTTCACGGCCATAACGGGCGACGAGACGCCATCGCCATAGATGCAGTTCTCCGCGGCACAGGCACGCTCATCATACTGACAACGTTGACACTCGGCGCCCAGGCGGCGATAGTTGTGCACCACCAGTTGATAATAGCAGCTCTGCGACTGACCCTGCTGACAGACGCGGCGGCAGGGATGACGCTCGAAGCCGCTAAAACCGGAGACATCCGCCGGATCGTAGTCGTCCTTCAGCTGCAAGCCCGTGGCCAGCTGGTTTGGCCTATTGGTTCTATTGTTGCGCGACCAGGGAAATGTGATCCAGTCAATTTTGGCACTCGGCTGCTCCAGTTGCGGCTGCAGCTGAGCCTCTCCCAAGTCCAGGCAGCACCATAGCACAGCTCCAAGAAGCACACCGATTAGCTGGCAGCAACACCTTTTACTTTCACGCCCCCACCTGTTCGTGGCAATCATGTCAAGACTCAACCTCCAACTGTGCCCAGAGGCCTAGTGCAACGCCCGAAGAAAGTTTGGAAAACCAAACTGGATGACCACAAATAGTTGGGCATGCTCAGCACGTGCTAATAATAAAAGCTGAGCTGCATTTTATTTGTGTTTAATTGGCTAGAGACTAAGAACGCCTGTCTCACTTGTAACCGACTGTTCGATACTCTTTATGATACACTAGCTGGTATTTTTCGAGCTTTTCCGCTCTTTCGCACAAAATAAGCTGAAATTGTTGTCGTCAGTTAACTAACTATAAAAATTACATTTAATTTATTTGTGAACTAATATGAAAATTGCTGATGAATTATTTTAATAGCTGTTCAAAAATTTAGGCTTCGCCTTGTGGCGCTGGCGGGCTGGTGGGCGAAGGGGATCCGCTCGAGGCTGTGTTGGATGTGCTCATCAGACTGATGACCCCACATGCAATGGGCGGACCCACTGACATCTCTTCGTTCTGATAGGCCAACGCATTGGGCACCGTCAGCGCGGAGGAGAAGACCTCCGCATTGAGCGCCGTGTTCAAATCGATTGGCTTACTGTGTATGACCACGGAGCGGCCGACGATGCCATTGAAGCCGAACAGCTGCAGGTAAATGCTCATGAATACGGCCGATATGCTGCCGTCTGCCTTGACATCCAGGTTGCCCAGCTGCCAAGGAGGAGATGTGAATCTCAGAGACAGTTACTCTTCAATGCGACTTACGAAATTATTAGGAAACTGGCCACCAGTTGACTTGCAGCCCTCGCTCACGTCGCCGTACGTGTGTATGTGCAGTGCATGCTTGCCGGGCGGCAGTCCGGTCACATTGACGGTCACCCGGATGTCGCTGTTGTAGGGCAGCTGCTGGAAGCTGATCATGCCGGCGGCAGACGCCGACTCGCCCTCGCCCATAAGCTTGGCGCCCGCCTGCCACTGTGGTACCTACGGATGAGCACTTGTCAATGGCCGTTGCAAAGAAAAGAGCGAAGACCTACATAGGCGTAGCCCAGGTATACCGGCTGTGGATGCAATAGCGGACTGAGCAGCGCGGCAGCGCCAATGCCACCAATAACCGGACCAATGCCGCCCAGCGGCACGGTCATGCGCTCGTAACGCTTCACCTTTGTGCCGGACACCACTTTGATGTCATCGATGCCCGTCAGATTGGCGGGCCTTAGGCGATCCAGCAAATTTTGCGCGCTGCCAGGCACAAAAATGCTATTTAATAGCATAAACGCCAGAATGGGCTTGGAGCGGAACATTTCGGTTAATTGCCTTAAACTGTTTTTGAGGATTTGTAATGTGACTGGGGGTAGAAGCTTCCGTTCTCTGTGAATATTTTAACCCAACTGAACTGGACGCTCTGTGGGCCCGTCTATATCGTTTGTCATTTGGTTGACTTCGACACGGATTTCATGCTGATTGAACACGTTAATTGCCACAGAGGCAATATCACCAGAATGGATGATGAGTCGATTGTGCTGCTGCTCAATGGCAATCAAGTGTCGCGTGTTTGATGCTTGGCTACCTACCTGTCCATGGACGTAAGCTCTACTACTTGTTGCCTAAGCCAAAGCCAAAGCCAAACTACCAAAGACACCTTTTCAATTTTTAACTTGAAATTATCTTTCAAGTTGAATAATTTTTTCTTAATTTACTTTTTAATAATTAATTAATTGATGGTTAAATTAATTCTGTAGCAGAGTAATCCTCGACAAATAAAAATTGTAAAGATAATAATTTTAAAAACTATTTCCTTTCATATTAGTTAAGGTGTCAAAAGAGACCTTTTGGTTGAAACCTTGCTGGAAATAGTGTTAATTAATATTAATTATAATATTTTAGAACTTATACCCCTTTTGAACCCAGTTAGCCACGTCTCTGTCCGATGGGAGGGCAAACCGAATAAAACGCAAAATTAGATCAACATTAATAAAATTGAAAGTGAAAAAGCTAACCTCAGAGATTAAACGAGATGCGAGATTTTTGTTCTAGATGACACATTTTTTATTTTTAATTGCTTCCCATTAACAATCAACATTTGGATTCATTTATGTTGGACAAGCAGGGAGAACAAAGAATAAAAATAAAAAAACTATGAAATGTTCTAATATAAATAAATATCAATTTTGGTAGTTATTAATAATCGCACGCCGAAATTGACACTGCAATGCGGTCGTCTATTTAGCTTAACGGAAATCACCGCGTTGATAGTCGCCCTGGTGACGTTGATTGTAGCCGCCGCCGCGTCCGCCGCCGTGGTAGCCGCCACCGCCACCTCCGCCGCGTGCCCCAGCTTGAGGATTCCAGCCAGAGCCCTGGACACGTCCGCTGTTGTTAGTCCATTGCTCTCGTTGCTGCTGTTGTTGATATTGGTACGGCTGTTGGTTTTGTTGTTGTTGCCAGTTTGGAGCTCCACCACCACCGCGTCCACCACCTTGTCCGCCACCGCGACCGCCTCCGCCACCCCGTCCGCCACGGAAGTTGCCACCACCACCACCACGGCCTCCGCCACCACCTCCAGGTCCGCCGGCACGCTGCTGTTGCCAGGAAGGCATCTCTGGCGGCGGTGGCGCGTGCTCATTGGCGCGTCCACCGCGATCCGGCACATTGCCAATCACATGTTTTTCTATCTTCGAAGCCGTATTCTTGCGCACATTCGCAGAGCTCGTCTTCTCAATAATCGCTAAATCCGCTCGCGCCGCCAGCAGCGCCACAATGTTGGTATCATCTCCGCCATACTGGAGCTTCTCGATCTCCTTGAGCTTGCGCTGAAAACGATCTCCAATCTCACCCTGTCGCTTCTTCATGCTTTCGGACCATTGAAAACTTTGAACTGTCGCTTCCAAGCGCGTTAGCATCATTTGTCGGCGCAGATTGTACTCCGCATCCAGATCTCTGTGCATGCTCTCCAAGACACGCCACTGAGCATCAGTCAAGGGCTTATTTGTACGCATCAACGGCTCACTGATCACCGCCGGGCTCGTCTGCTTCAGTCGCTGTTCCAGTTTGGGCGTTAGACGCTCGAACAGTTGTTTTGTATTGATGTTTTTTGGCAGCTCGCCGAGCTGCAGGTCTGCCGTCAGCTGAGTCACCGTCTCCTGTAGGTGTGACTCAGTTTTGGATTTTTTACTGGGCGGCTCGGCGGGCTGCAGCTTCAGCGACATCTTTGTGGCCATAAGCTCCGATGTGAGGTAATCTAGCAGATGCAGCAGTGAGGTGCGCGTTTGGAAACGTTCCGACATGGGCACCGCTACAAACTGGCGATACGGGCAGCCCAGCTCAGTTAATAGCAACGATAGCTCAAATGCAAATTCATTGTGATCCTTGCTGCTAGAGGCTACATGCTCGTCGGTCTTTCGCAGCACATGCAATTGATCGGCTAGCCAATAAATCACTTCGCGCAAGTCTCCGCTGCCAATGCCGCTGTCTAGGGCTTGGCACAGAGTTTCCTGCTCCACTTTTTTGTACCCAAGTGCATCCAAAGAATCTATGATATCTAATTCGAGATCCATTGCCGGCTACTTTCTTTCCTTATTTTCCGGTTGTTTTCGTTTTTTCTCCGGCTGCCAATTAAAGTTTTTTGGTCACACTAGTTCATATGTCATACTTAACAGGGGCTGTACATAACATTTTCTTAACTGTTATTAAAACCGGGTCTGGCTGTTTATTCGGTTAATAATTTTAAAAGAAACCTGGAAACTTTTTTTTTTGAGTTATTTAATTTGTAGTTGCTTGGTGTTAGACCCGAAGATAAATAGGGTCCCAATAGGCTCGCTTTTTTGCTGAACCTATCTAGTATTGCATTAAATTACCCAATAAATTAAAAAATTTACAATTTAGACTTACCTTGCTAACAGTGCCAAAATGAGTAGAGTATTATAACGACTAAGAGACGAGTAAATTGTGAAAGACCATTTACCAAGGTTTTTTATAATAAAAAATGTTCAGCTTGCTATGAATTAAGGAATATACATATAATTAATTAATTTATTATAATAATATTATGATAAAATACTTTCATTATTTTGTGTATAAAGTTTATATATAACAAAACTTATGAACTTGTCTCTATGATATTGAACAATACTATTTACTATATATTGAAAGCAAACAGGAATTTATTGCGAATCATATAATTCTGGTACAATTACATTTTATTTGGGTCTCAAAAACCAACTTTAAAAGAAAATGATGCTAAGTGACTGATGCTTTCTTAACGCATATTGCTAATTTGACACATGTCGTGTTTTAGGGGCCATTGATGACACAAAGGTAACAGAAACGAACTAGTTGAACTAGTTGGGCTTGTTCGTTCGTTCAGCCAGTCGCTCAATTGAACATATTCATTCCGAACATTTCGATACAACTTTACCAACTACTTATACTTGAGTGAGAATATTAATTAAAAAGCTAATATTGCTTTAAAAATTGTGTGCCATTAATAGGTAAAGAGAATTGTAAAGTAAATACAATAATTGAAATTGTGCACGATTCAAATGTGCAATGTAAAGGATTCCAGATTGAGATCTACGCCCAATTTGGCAAGACCTGTGTTGTTGTTGTTGGCTTCAAACACAAATACCAGTGTTGGCCAGTTTAGCTAACATCACAAGCTAAATTGAGAGAAAATCACATCAAACTATAGTCAAGTAACCGGATTCAGCCTGAAAATGGCTGAATTATCAACACTGATCAACACTGAAGAGACACTTTTCTGATATTTTGTTTGCCGTTTTCAGTGAGCTAAAAACGTTGAACGCGTACGTAGACATTGATTGAGGCGAGCTGCAACAAGTGAAAGCCAATTACCAGAAATGCCGCCCGTTCAGTAAGCGAACCAGCAGAACATTTCATTGAATCGAATTGAATATTAACGACATTACATCATCATAACGCCCATGTGTGGTCCAGTGCAAAATGTGACCCAAATATTCGCTCGCTTCATTCATTTATTTGGTCAAGGTGCTGCCTAATCAAATTGATTAAAAAACTCAACGTAAAACGCACTTCTAATGCAATTATGCATAACATTATGGTTTTTGTATCTGTGAAGCAACTGCAGGGTGTTTTTGTCCGCACAAGTTGCATTTTTCGTGGTATTAAAGCACCAGATGTTTACTACATCGATGACGTCATGGCAACATTCAAATTTATTTTTAGACGCCGCCGCCGCACATTTCAGTATCTGTGTGTTGTTTACCTATTGCAATATGTGTGCCTGTGCGTGTGTGTGTGCGCGTCTTGAGTCTGTTGTTGTGGCGCGCAATTCAAACCATACAAATCCATCGAATCCATTTACTGATCCTCCGCACAACCGCAACGCTTAACGACTGCACTTCAACTGTCTACACCCGAACTGCAAAAGCCAAAGCTACTGCCGACTACATTGCCAAACTCAGTTCACAAGGAATGCAGAGCTTTTTGTACATTCGTCAGAAATATGATTCAGCAACGTCAACAATGCTTGTTCGCTTACTTGATAAGCCAGCCACACAAAGTGTTTGTCCCCCAAACGTCTCCGTTTCCAGTTGCCTTTCTCATACGCTGCCCTACAGTTGTGCGCTTAAGCCCCATCATCATGATGTACTCCAAAGCTGAAGTGTAACTGCTTGCTAATCGAGTGTACCCTCTGTATTATAGTTATGCTAATCTTTAACTGTTCTTTTGTGACCTTGCAGAGTCCAAGCCATCAATATGTCGCTGGGTGCAATGCATTGCACGAGATGCGCCGACGGTTTCGAGCCCACCGAAAAGATTGTCAATTCCAACGGCGAGCTTTGGCATACGCAGTGCTTTGTGTAAGTGCACGATGTACACTCCCGGCATAGTAAATTGTCATCATAAGGAATATATGACGAAACGAAGAGATGCCCGCCCTAAACAAATGGGCGTCATCATGGGAGAAGTCACAAATTCAATTAGTTGACTGTAATGTAATTAAATGTCAATTTCTAATTCGTTTGCATACTTTCCTTTTCACAGCTGCGCTCAGTGCTTCCGTCCGTTTCAGGATGGCATTTTTTACGAGTTCGAGGGACGCAAGTATTGTGAACGGGACTTCCATGTGCTATTTGCGCCCTGCTGCAACAAGTGCGGCGAGTTCGTTATCGGGCGTGTTATCAAGGCCATGTCCGCCAGCTGGCATCCACAATGCTTCCGCTGTCAGCTGTGCGCCAAAGAGTTGGCCGACAGTGGCTTCATACGCAACCAGAATCGTGCGCTATGCCATGAATGCAATGCCAAGGTGAAGGCCGAGATAACAGGTCGTTATGTGTGCCAAAAGTGTCAGTAAGTGGACGTGTTTTAAAATATTTTTGGAACTGCATACTAATCCACAATTCAACAGCGGGTTGATTGACGAAGAGCCATTGCGCTTCCGGGGCGAAGTCTATCATGGCTATCACTTCAATTGCTCGGCCTGCGGCATAGAATTGGATGCTACAGCGCGCGAGGTCAAGAGTCGCCCGGGCCTGGCTGCAAACGATATGGTGGATATATAGCAATGCTTGCAATTTGATAATTATTAATAGTATATACATGTTTTCATTTCAACAGAACGAACTGTATTGTCTGCGCTGTCATGACAAGATGGGCATTCCCATTTGCGGCGCCTGTCGTCGACCAATTGAGGAGCGTGTGGTTACAGCGCTGGGCAAGCACTGGCACGTCGAGCATTTCGTGTGCGCCAAGTGCGAGAAGCCCTTCCTGGGTCATCGTCACTACGAGAAGCGCGGCCTGGCATACTGCGAGACGCATTATCATCAGCTCTTTGGCAATCTGTGCTTTGTGTGCAACCAGGTCATTGGTGGAGATGGTATGTTAACTACTGCACTGTTCGTACATCCATAAATGACACCTAAATTGTTTCCCCTTCAGTTTTCACCGCTTTAAACAAGGCGTGGTGCGTGCATCATTTTGCCTGCTCCGTGTGCGATATGAAAATGACGCAGAAATCAAAATTCTACGAGTACGATGAGAAGCCGGTGTGCAAGAAATGCTATGAACGGTTTCCCAACGAACTGCGACGTCGCTTGCGCACCGCACACGAGATGACCATGAAGAAGAATGTCTAGTGGATGAGCTGCAGCCTCGAACTGGCCAGCCTTCCATCACACAAATCTACACCAAAACGTGTTAAGTCAAAGTGCCTTCTGTCGTTCAGCACAAACGACCGCTTAGTTCTCTGTTTGTAGTTGTCCACTTCTAACATTCGATGTTAATTCTCGAAACTAAAAACTTGTGCCTTTCTTCACATTTCTGTAACATTGTAATTTTTGTTGTACTGTATTTCTAAACAAAAGCGTGTATTGTCTTGATAATGCTTATCTTTTAATTGTAGCTGTTAACAACGGCAAGCATAACAAAACAAATTATTGTATTGACAGCTGTTATCTAATTGAATTTTATTTATATACATGTTTTTAAAATAAAAAAAATTTAAAAAGCATGCGAACCTAACTGGTATTTGCTTTTTCAATTATTTATTATCTCCCATTTTTCATGAGCAATAAGCAAACGGCTCAAAATTCATAGCAAAGACAAGAACCAGTTATGTTAACGCAAATGCAAGTCGCTAACGCAATGTTCATCTTCTGTTAAATTTGATAATATATCGAAATTAAATTTCGACTGTTATGCTAGCTGTTAAAAAACTTTTTAAATTTTTCTTTTAAATAACGAACTGTTTAATTTGTTAAAGCTTATTCCAATTTGGAGAGTAAACGTAAACCAGTATAATTTAAAAAATAGATTTAACTTCAAACATTTTCTAGAGATATAAATGTCTAATGTTAAAATAACAGTGCTTAGCTGTTATGTACTGAGAATTTGTAGAATACAAATAGCTAAAGAAGCTTTTTTTTTTCTGTATGTAAGTTGTTATTATAATTATAATGGAGTACGGTTCGTTACACTATTCGTATATATTTTAGTTAGTTTGGTTTTGCCTTTATAGCCTTTGGTTACAGCTACCTATTTTCAATGACTTAAGCCATTATTTTCTGCACATTTTTCTTCGTCTCTCTGACCTCGGCGCACAGTTAATAATTTTATTGATAATTGGCTGCCTTAGACCTGCAGCAACTGGCAATGCAATGTCTTTATTCGTTCTTGCCGCATTCAGTTGCAATTTATAGCGTGCATTACGGCAGACAGTTTAATTGAGCATCGACGTTTATTAATTTGTCCCGGGTCCAAGCGAAGTTGGCTGCAATTTATCCAAATCCCTTGGACTCATTGCATTTCAACACGTTAGGCAATTTCACTTTTTCGACTGCCACAATGAAGCCCCAAAAAAGCTACGCACATTAATTAGGGCCCTTCATTAGACACATGCCCATCAAGGCAGGGCAGGGACCAGGTCCAGGACCCGACCCAGCAATGACGAGTGCGCCGGCGGCCATGTCCAGAGACGCAGCTCGTGCATTGTATTGCCAGCTTTATGTAATTAAGCCAGACGCGCTCACAATTTAAATTGCTGCCGGGCCGTGCCCATTCCTCATACGCGTCTCTCTCTCTCTCTCTCTCTCTCTCTCTCTGTATCTGTATCTGTATCACGAATTGGCAATTGAGCTGGCCGAGCTGGCGCAATTTGCACAGAGCCGAGCTTCTCCACATCCACATCAAGATCCAGATCCTCAGCAGCAGCATCGTCTGCGTTTGCGTCTGGGATGCGACGTTCGCTCGTCAGCGTTTGAGCCAATAATTATGGTTATTAATCGGCCAGAGAATTGGCTGCTAATTTGCAGTTTAGTTACAAATTCTGGCCGCCAGCGTGCAATTACTCGCTTAAATTATAGCTTCAAAATAAACAAAACGCCGCAACGCCCGAACGAGAGAGAGAGAGAGAGAACTAAGGCCAAAAGTTGGCAAGGCAAAAGGTCATGCCGTATGGCAGAGACGACGCACATTGCATTTTATGTGTTTGCTTATCAAAGCCATCAGAGGCTACGCTGCTCATCAGCTAATGATGCCGGGATTCATGCTGCTGCTGCTGCTCCGGCTGCTGCAATCAGCGTTCACCAGCTGGACTCAATAATTAGACGGCCCAGTGCCAGTCCTGGGCGTTACTCAATCATGGCCTGATGGCACAACCCCCAAGACGTATCTATCGCCTGCGCCGGGCAGCACGATCGGTGCAGCTACAACATAATTTCCAGAGCGCTCGCTTTGCCTGATCCCTTGTCCAATTTAGGAGGCGCTCGCATTTCGCGGCCACGGCAACACTTTTGCTCAGCCAAATCAAATCGTGTGCTGTTTATTTAAATAACCATAATTTAGCAGCGCTTCTCGTCGATGGGGGGGTAGAGTAGGGATATGAGGAGGGATTGCCCATTTATTAACCCCCACACACACAGACTGCAGCAGCAGGCCTGATCGTGGCGAGCGTTTCAGTTTTATGGCTGATCCGTTCCCAATGCCCGGCTCCATGAATTTTCATGCTTTTGTGAGAACATAAAAATTCAATTTAATATGCTCTCGACTTTGAGTTTGGAGCGGGCTGCGAGTAGGTTTTTAGCGGGAAAACGTTTTGTCTACGGGCAGTCCAGTTAATGAAAATTTAGTTCAATCAACGTGTATAAACGTGTTTGTATCCATTCAGACAATGTGGCAAAATACTTCAACATGGTTATGGGCTATGTCACTTTTGTTGTAGGTGTTGATTGGCTGATGAAAAAAGATCCAATGATCTTCGTTGATATTGTCACTCTGATCATTTGGTGAAAATTAAGACAATGTGTTACGGTTACCTACAGCAGAAGGTTGAAGACAATGTTAAAAGAAAATTTGATCATAACTTTTCAATTATATATACAGACGTATTAAATTTCCCTTGCCAGTCACTTATTTAAGAAATAAATACCTAATAGTATTGAATTTGGAAGAAGAAATCAATGGAGTGAGAAACCTAAAGTGGAATAGGCGAGTGAGTATAAACAACTCGATATATGTGAATCAATATCTGTAAGCCTTTCTTGCTTTCATGAAAATCACATAGAAGGGCACTATTTTAGAGGAAATGAGAGCAATCGTGAGAGAGGGAGAGCTAATTTCACCTTTAAGGCTTCTTATGCAGTTCCTTATATTTAATATAAAATCTTATTGTTACTTAAGGCCATGAGAATCTCATAGAAAGGCGCTCGTCATTTAAGAAAGTCTGTGGCAGATTCAAAGATATTTGCAGAGAATGTCTAAAAGTAAGAAGTACCTTTATCGTAAATAAAGTAAATTTGAGCTGAATATCACATATGAGATCGAAAGTTTACCAATTTATGATATTTATCAATATTAATCTCCCATAAATGGGCTATTTCTGGTTGGTTATGTTTGTGGCATCCTTATATGGTAATTTATGGCATCAAATATTGCTCGCATTCTTCTGATATTAATGTTATGTTTATAAATAGTTCAAGTGTTTGGTGCATAACACAATAAATGCCATTATTAACGATTTATGATCGGGCTAACTGCAACAAAATTGGCCAAGTCGCGACTCCGGTCCGCTGGTTCCCGTGTCCGCTTGGGCGCTCAGCACGTCAGGTTTTAAAAAAATGAGCTTGTTAACGCTCCATGATGAGCCTAGTTAGTGTCCGTTGTCATGATCTAAACCATATAACCCGAAGCATTGAATCGATCGATAGTTTGGACGGTTGGTTGCCTGGGATGCATGCTTGGTTGGATTGGGTTGGAATGGGTTGGATGCACACTGCACTCCAGCAGAGGCCGTCATTAGAGTTTTATGCAAAATTACAACACGATAACACGTAATCATTAGCGATGCGCAAAATCGCTGCCCCAGACGGTGTGAGCAAACAGTTTGAGATGAAACAGCGATAGCAAAAGCAACAACAGCCATAGCTAAGAATATTCTAGTAGGAAATGCCCGACTAGCAGATACCCACAGATCTAAACTTCCTTCTAAAAACAAATACACATACTGCTATACTTTTTAAGCGGAAGGCATTTTTGATTCAGCTCGGGGTCCGATCTTTCTAAAAACGTCAGATCTTAAATGTAATTAGCATAGAAAATTGTGCATATACCAAAGTTTAAGGCTATATATATATATATTTAATTTCCTTTTTTCCTGCTGCGGCTTCTTCTATTTTTGACCCTATACTATCTATGCGAAAGACATTTTTGAGCAGGCTCGGTGCTTATAGTCCGATCTTTATAAGATAGTCAGCACTTAAATAGCCTAAGCCTAGAAAATTGCGTGTTCAAGGTAATGTTTATTATTCATTTTTTTAAACTAATGTCTGAGTCTGTCAGCAAGAATCCCAGTCATAAGAAATCTATTCTGATCGATTTTCATCGATCATTTAGAAACTGGTTAAGTTATCGATGATACGCTTAATATTTCTAGTCTAGTAAGCTTTAATAGTCTCAGAGATTGATGCATTCATACGTTTGCCTCGATTCACTTAGCTGTTATTGCTCTTCTGTCTGTTACATACATTGGCACATTAACAATATACCCTATGTGCCATTTTGTAATGGGTATTAGAGCAACAACAACGGCAACAACAACTTCAATTTGCAGTTTCATTATCAAACGAGGCAAAGAACATAATTTGACTAAGGCCAAAACATTTGGCAACGTCTACGTCTACGGCTAAAAGAGTCCAATTTGCAGTTGTTCTTGTTGTTGTTGTTGTTGTTGCTGTTGCTGCTGATGTTGCCAGGGCCCAGGCTAGTAGTCAGTCTATCGATCACGTTTCAAACTGAAAGGCACGACCATGACGACGATGTGGCTCCGATTATGGCCACGCTTGTTGTTGTTGTTTGTCGTAGACGCCATTGTTCTATCAGCGGGAGTTGGGTGCACGAGGTGGGGGTGGGGGAGTCGGGAAATGCTGACGGTTTAGAACTTTTTATGCAATTAATTGCAACAGTTTTGCGGCTGGAATGCGCTTGTCTGTCCGCCCCATCGCCCGCTGCTGCTGCCGTTCTAACCACTTGCCGTTAATTTAAAAATTGTGCTCACGTTCTGGCAATTTGCTGACCACCCACATGCAAATGCAAATGCAAATCAGAAACAAAAACAAAGAAAAAGCCACCCCTCACCTGAATTCGATTCGTGGAAAATTAGACGCCAGTTACCTGCCTGCCTGCCTGCCTGCCTGCCCGGCAGCAACAGGCCGAGCATTGAGCATTTCATTTGCCAGTTGCAAGTTTGTATTGAGCCCGCTCTTTGTCTAATTTGACACTTGGGGCAGTTGCACAATTGTCTTGCAGGCGGACAGGTAGTGGAACACAAGGCGCCTCCTTATGCATACCAAGAAGCCGGCGCAGTTGCCGATCCGTTTGCCTTTCCGTA